GGTAATTGTTATAAACATATTCTCAGATCTACTGATTATACATATAAAATTTCATCAAAATCGGTCGAGCCGATTCGGAGGAGTATAATCACGAAACCTGTCACACGAGAATTTTGTATATTAGAGATATACAAAAAGTGTAACGATGGATGCTTATTACTTTATAAGCCTAAAATGGTTGAAAGGGATAGAATAAAATGTGACACAAATATCTTACCCATGATATGTAATAACGTTAAGAATTACATAGCAAACTTTTTACCTAAATTGGCACAGGTAGCGTCGTCCGATAATACTTTATTATTATTACTACACTACTCTACGTCTATTGATATATCATTTATTTGTACCCCGTAAGAATAGACTTGGGGAACGAACAAAGCGCAAGGCAAAGGTATAACCCGTATAAGTGTACCCTTGTATTGTGTTATAGACCGTGGAACGTCTATAGTTTCGTATAGTATTATTTAAAAAAAATGTTAAACGTTCACCTTAAAATGGAACCTTAAATCAACTAGTTAAGCTTGTTTTTAAAATATTTACAGTTTTGTGTTATACTCATTTAATGCATTACTATTATATTGCTAGTTCCAGTATGATCAGACGTAATCGTCGCCGCCGTTCGCTTACAAGATCTGAATCCGCAGATCGGTACTGATCTGGATCCAGAAAATTGTCATGAAATTCATAGACAAGTTGTAACTAGTAGTCGTCAAATACAAGAGCTCAAAGGGCCTGACTGCTGGGCAAGGGCATTGTGCCTCACAGACATATATCAAGCTAGCCTGACCGATTCTGGTTGTGTGCGACCTGTCTCTACTTTTGGAAAAGTAAGTAGGAAACCACTATTTCAAATATAAAGCGTATGCTTTGTAATGGATTATAATTAATCACTATTTATAAATAATCACTAACTCAATTACTAAGATGGGTGAACCATGGAAGGCTACCGTAATAATCAGTTTTTATTACTTCATTTACTGCACTAACTACTTGACGGACTCGGTTAGTGTAGTGATTCAGCCCACCGCACATAGCGTGGGTTCGATGTCACGAACGCCACAAACATTTGTATTCATGAGTATGATTGTTCGTATCGGCCTGGGTGTTTTCTATGTATAATATGTATGTATTTACGAAAATAACATATCTATGTATTTGTATCAGTTACCCAGCACCCATAACACTAGCTTTAGCTAGCTTAATTTGGGTCTAGATGGATTATTATTATATGCGATCCTTGTCATGCGATTATTATTATTATTATTTACTTGCTAAATGAAAGAAACAAATTATTAACTAATATTTGTTTCGTTATGTAACATATAAATTACTTTATATGTAATCACTATTTTTAAACTTTACTTTTATTACGTTCTTCCAAACGTCAAGGAATAGGGCTTCATACAGTGCAGCTAATGAGACAATCACTAACTATACCTTCCATTCACCGAAATCATAAGTGTAGCGTTAGTAAACTACCAGGATACCAGCATATACCAAACATACTAGCAGGATACCAAACCAACCACTACTAACTAATTCTCCTCAAAATTGACTTCCACGAAAATTGACGTCATTACTGTGTGTGCTAGGAAATAGTGGTATAACAGATATCATAAAATAACCATTATCAGAAACTGAGAATACCCTTGTAATAAAATCGGCGGATGTAATAGCAGAAACTTAGGAAAGTATAAAGATTGTCCATTAAACTCCATTCATGCAAGAATTAACTGCAATGAGCATTCATTTTTGAAAATAGTAACTTTTTCTCTATCATACTCCTACCACAGATAACATAATATTACATACTCCTACTAATAATTACTTTCAAACATGTGCTAATGTCTTAATAAGATAACAAATCGAGTGATGTATTTTTAATGATTTTGTAATAAAGTCACTGCACGCTTTAGAATCATTATGTTTTATTTATAAATCGATCCCAACTTTAATATTCCAGCAGTACAATGTAATGAGAAATTGATCAGTCTTGTATCGTCTTACGAATATTATAAACGCAGTTTGTGTGTACGGATGCATGATGGATTTTTGTTACTCTTTCACGCAAAAACTATCGAATGGATTTTGGTGAAAACTTTGCAGTGATGTAATTTATACATCAGAATAATACATAGGCTATATTTTAATTATATATTATGTAAGTTACAAACGAATGTAAATAAGTAAGGGTACCTAGAAAAAGGCCTAAATATAATTTAACGTTTTTGCGTAAATAGTATGTTGTATAAAGTTTCATGTATTGTGATGAGTTGACTGTGGCTCAGTATATAAATTAATATATTAAATTATTAAATATTAATTGAGATATGGTTACAAGAACCTAGATGTTATAATTATGCCAACTTATATTAAAATACTGTATAAAAGAGTGTAAATGTACTATACTACAGAACAGTAGTTGGGTATCTCTACAATAACCATGTATACACACAATAACATTGGGGAACCCATAGGTCGAAATAGTTTTAATATAATAAGGGGACGCTCTATATCATTCTACCGGGTGAACACAAAAAATAATGTGTAGGGATTTTTGAGATTTCACATCCATACATTCCAATCTTACTAACTATACTCACAGTTGATGTTTTATCACAATGGATGTTTTTTACTCTTTCACGCAAAAACTACAGATCGCAATTTGATGAAACTTCACAGTAATATAGCTTATATCATAATAACATATAGGCTATAATTTAATAAGACATTATGAAAATTAGGCGAAAATTAACATATTTTTTCTACATGTCGGTACATTTTTTTAGCAGAAGAAGTTGCGAGGGTTATTTAGCATAACTGTAACTACATGTACTGAGTTATATGAGACGATTCCGCGAATATGTAACCACTATCGTATCACAAACATCATTTCCAACATTGAAAAGACTTTTTTTCATTTCGGCGGCGGCGGTCGGCGCATTTATAGCATCGTCAAATTTTAAATGCATTTTCAATTAAATACAATAGTTTCGTTTTTGGAAAACAAATGTTTTATTTATATGTTAGGCAAAGTCACATGTGACTTTGCCTAGTTCTGCCTAGGCATTAGTTCTTTAATAAATCGAATATGTTTTGTATATAAATTCAAATAGTATTTAATATTATGTTAAGTTCAGCTGCTCGATTGCTTCTCTCAGCAGAGGTATGCATCATATTTAGAACTAGGCAATGGATATGTATATGTGACTAAGTTTTAATATTGATATAAAATTTTATTTAGACATTATATTAAGATTATTTTAGGTTACTTTTAGTGTTTTATTCATCAAAATTCTACGACTTAAGGTCGAAAGTTCGAATGCCTCTTTCTGAATGTTCTAACTTCAATCTAGATCTCGATCGATGAGAATAAAGTCTTATACTAAATGGTCAGGGTTCAAATTGTGTATAGCATGTTGTCACCGCTAATTTTGTTAGTGCTGTTTTAAAAGTTCGTCGATAATCGACCTTGATCTCGGGAGTTATGGTATAATTTGAGATCAGTAATACTCACTGGAGCATGCGCGTTGCCGTGGCTTCCAAAACTAAACACGAAGGTCACCTTGACTGACAGAATCTGAATGTTGACTCAGTACTGGTAAGGTATCTTGTAGAGTCTCAGACAACTACATACGTGACGTACATCACGCACATCATATATACATCCTAATTCCAAGTAAGTAATAATCATATTCAGTCTAGATTTCTTCTTTCCTTAAAAGTATTTATAAGTTGTATGACTTCATTTCAACGTAAATTTATGTTAGTCAAACTATTTGTATGTTTTGTGTCAGTTTGTAATACTTTAAAATATAGTTTTATTAACTCCTCTTAAGTTTTATTATTTTTTGTATTATTCTATTTTAATATAACAATGATAGACAAAAAAAAATTTACACTTAATTGTAAACTATAAAAGTGAAAGTATTATAACTATAACTGACGTAAAATTTTGTAGGTATTACCTACACCAAATTCTACAAAATGTTATTATCTTCTAACAATGTCTAGTACACTAAAATATTTCAAATAATTTATTTACTCCAGCACAGGTAACTTGGAATATACTGTAACCAAAAACTTTAAAAATTTTTCTTGACAATTCCTTACACTCTATAAAAAAACTAATGAGTTTCTTATCATAATCACAATAGTAAAACCAGAACAGTCGGTTTAGACTTGACTATTATAAATGAAATAAAAAAGATCGATTAACAACAACGGACAAAGGTATAATAGCAAAAAAACTACACACCTACTGGAATTAAAAACTTCCTGAACGGAACTCTATTTTGTGTCATCAAAAAATGATTCTAGCAGAACTTAGGTGCTTTTATGGCACAGTAGGCCGCATTTACTACGCATTGTTCAGGTCATCTTTTGTACAGAATAATGGACATAAAGGTAATCAATCCGGTTATATAATATATTTACCACTTATGGGTTACTTATACTTAACTTTACTTGAGTAAGAAAGTTATTATTGCTCTCTTTGCGGACAAATCTAATGATATGTTGCCAGTAGGTGGCCGTTACTGCTTTAACAGGAGGAAGTGGAGGAATGTGTATTTTCATTTTTGTTTAAACTTAAATACAAGTGAATTTAAATTGTTTTATTTTTAATATTAACAGATAAAAGACGCAAACCTGACCTCACTCAAACTAAACGCATTTCGATAACACTTCTTTTAATCAATTTGGGTTCCTGTTACTTACATTTCTATGTATAGTACGATGTTTTGCATATATTATATAGGCATTAATATATTATAAATTTTAATGAATACTTACAATTTACTAAATCGAACCCATGACCGTATACGTTACCTTTTAACCGTACTTCGACGTCTCGTGCGTGACAGCGGTCAGCTCTACACCCTTCCTATATTTTCGTGCGTTAATTCTAAACCAGTCATTCAACCTAGTCAGTGAGCCGGCGCTTTGGCAGTTTCACTTTACTACGTTCAGTAACTGCTTAACAGCTAAAGAGACGACATTGTACATTGAATAAGAAGTATAGTTATAAGTTCGCGATTTATTTTTAATTTTCTTTTCGCAATTGATCTTTTCAATTATGCCTGGTAATAGTTTTAATGGAGTCAATGGCAGCAGATGTAAGTAATTTTGTATTTTTTTTTCCATTTATTAAATTGTTTAAAGTGTTTAATATTTAAAATAACTTTGTTTTAAATAACCGTATGGTGTAATTTTTTTAATAGGTTTATTTTGATGAATTGTAGTTTAGTGTCTATTTATACTTAAAAAATTTACTTACTGCGTTCTTATACTCTATTAGTTTATAAATTATAAATTATAAACACTAATAATATAATCGGTCAGTCAAAATGAAATAGAAATTAAAATAATAACAAGTTTTTTTTTAATTAGAGATGGTAATAATATTATGGCAGGTACCATAATATTATAATAAAAATCCGATATACATTTAAATATTTAAAAAAAATATTTATTTTTATGTTTTTTAATCAACGACAATAATAGCTTTACCATAGAGCCTCTACATTTTACTCTCCATAGATAATAATAAAAATTTAATTTGTTATTAGTTTATTACCTAGATCAACTTTATATTCAAACTGAGCTCTATGATTTTTATTATATGCATAATGGTACTTTTCGAACGTAATTAATCATCATTATATTGGTATTCATATATAGATAATATATAGGTAGTATTCGACCGGGTCATTACTATACTCCGCACAACGCAGTAAAAGCTCAGAGTGCAGCTTATCCATTGAAATATACGCACACAAAGTCGTAGGTATACCTATATCAAATGTAACTTTTAAGACAAGTCCAGAGACAATATTCTATACTGTCATAAAATGATAGAATAATTGTTAAACAAAGAAATAAAAAAAATAAGAAACCTATATTTATAAACCTACTTTTAATAACGATTTGTTGATATTGCATACATTATCACATTATTAATTATATCACACCTATTATGGTATAATAATATTGAAATGAAATAAATTATTGTCATCCTTTAAAACTTATGGTGTTTTTAAATGTTACATATCAGTAACCGGTCATATCGTATCAAAACGGAGGCCGGCATTTGTATCATTTTGTATGCGCAAGAGTAACGCTTCGCAGTCGTACATTATTTGTTAGTTATACTTGAGCGTCGAAGGGCACGGACGTACCTACATATTTTTCAAGTTTAGTTTCCTACAATACTTAAAACTTGTCTCGTTTTATCTGCAAGTATTTGAAGTTAAGGTATATCTCTTTTATTTCATGTAACTGCTTTTATAAATTTATTACACAACTCTAATACAATAATCAGAAATTAATTTAATTAAAATATTTAATTTCATTTAGACATTTATTATCATAAAACTATATACATTGACAATCATAAAAATGACAATAAAACTAGCCATGCATTGTATTCCCCATCAAAAGAAGTTAATTGCAATTTATGATTCAGGTAAAATGGCGACCGTCGACCAGCTGTTCCAGCCAATCCAGCAACGGACCGATGACACCGGGAGCAAGGTCACGGTTGTCGGTGTTGGTCAGGTGGGCATGGCCGCCGTCTTCTCTATGCTCACTCAGGTTTGTAAATAACAAAACCCTATTTGAAGTCTGTTTATGTTGTATATTAAAAAGTTAACTTTTACCAGAGTGCAAAAATCTTATCTTAATAATAAAAAATTATAAACGCTAAAGTTTGTGAGTATGGATGTTCAAAGTGCAAAAACTACTGAACGGATTTTGATGAAACTTTACAGTAATATAGCTTATGTATCAGAATAATACCTAGGCTATAAATTTCACGCGGGCACTGCCATTACTAAATAAATGAGGAAAACTATTGTATTCATATTGATAATTAAAAATAAGTCTGTATAATACATACCTACTGTTATAATAAGTAATATGGTTATTAGGTACATGAAATCTATAAATATAATAGACCACTACTTGAAATGAATATACAGCGGCGACATCTATATTTACGTTATATATACCTTTATTTATATATAATATAAATATCACATTCTTTAACATAGCTGCTTAATTACCTTATGCATTTAATATTTAGTAATAATAGAGTATACAATACTCAATTTAGGTAATCTCGTGCCGGTCACGAGACGAGAGGCATGATTTCTACTAAATATGTATTTATAAATTTATTTTAATATCGTACCAGTGGTAAGACTTTATTCGCATATTTTAAGATTTATGTATTATTAACATGATATGGCCTACGTATCTCTGGATTAATATGCCTTTCGAACATCGCAAATTTTTTTTTCAAATGAGTCTAGTGGTACCTTTTTTCTTTTACATAATAATATTTCCTCTCTTTTTAAAATATTAATATCATATAGATATCCTCACAACTTTTATGTTATTTGATATTTTATCCTGAATTATAATGTTCATAAATCAATATTTTATTAATATAGAAACATTTAAAATTAAGCAGTTAAATGGACAATGGAATAGAACCTTATAACGGAATTTTACAATATTCTGTCTGATTTATTCACTATTCAAAGTACATTGCCTCAATTTGATTTTGATATTTTCTAAATGTGCCTAGGTATGTCTAAAATGGACATATATACAGCACCATAATATACGTTATTATACTTACAACTAAATGTAGTTGTAATTTACTCACATACATATAGCATTATATCTAATCTGATTACCCTATATTAGTGATAAGAAATAATCGAACTTCAAAGTTAATATACACTAAAGTCATATTATTTTGTTGCTGTTTGTATTCCTTATCAAATACATTGTCAGTATGGATCATAATATCCAATCATGCAAGGTTCTTTGCCGCCAAAGACCAGACAAATTGTGTCTTGTCTACATATATATATACGTGTTGTATATCATAAGGGTTGTATACTGTACTGGTTAATCAGAAATATATTTATTATTTTAAATTTGTATTTAAATTTGTTATCCTGATACTGTACATTTATTTTATACTTCAATGTTTTGAAAATAGTCTATAATATATATCTATAATCTATACCTGTAGAACCCGTTATACTACATATTTGGTATTTTCACTTGTACTATAGGCCTTTGTCGATTTAATAATACAGTACGAGTAGGAGTACTTATAGTGTGTTTATTAAATTTCATTGTCAACCAATGAAATTTAATAAACAGACTCTTATCTACACACATTTTCATTTTAAATCTAATTTGGTTATTGTCATGCTATTTAAACATCGTATCACTGATTTTCTTGGATAATGCTTTGGTGTTTTTATCGAGAATATCTGAAATACTAGTTTTAGTACTGCCACAGATAACATAATATTACATAGTACTGCTATTATAATTGTAACGATTCAGTTATCTTTAGGTATACTCGTAATGAAAAGTACTTCAAGTAGAGATGTATGCATTCATAAAATACTAAACACTATGATCTATGAACATGATATTGTAATATCGTCTGTCCACTACAATATCCACTATATTGGAAAGCAGATAACATTTGATATAATGTAATAAAAAAATTCAATACACCTGTATAGACACATAATATAAAGTACGTACTTTTAATACTGTCAAATAAATAAAAAAATTCTAAATACTAAAGTATGTTATACCTAAATCATTTCTACATTACAAAAAACTATACACGCCTAAGGTTAAGGTTTTAAAATTTTATTTAAAAGGTAAGATTTTAGCCCCTATAACAATTTCTCTATTAACATTTTGTGATGTTATTGTCCTATACAGGGTGTTACCAACAATATCGCATTGGTTGACGTCATGGCAGACAAATTGAAAGGGGAGATGATGGACTTGCAGCACGGGTCTGCTTTTATGAGAAATGCTAAGATTCAAGCGAGTACAGGTAAAATTTATTAAAATTAAATAGGACATTAAATTACCTATAACAGAAATAAAACACCTTTATGGTAGCGACCTAGGAACTATAATAGATTATATTATTAAATATACATGACATCATAGATTAGTATGGAAAAAAAAATACTTTCATTAGCATGTAGAAATTATTTCACAGCTTTCTGTATTTTATTTTATTATCAAAGAAAAGTTGCATATTGTCAAGGGATTGTGAAAACATTCCTGTAGCACCATAGTTGGCACAAATTCGATCGCGTCCACCGAACTTCGACTTCTAAATTTTACAAGTACTCATGATTTTTCAAGCTAAATATCTATTTTATATTTTATTCACAGATTATTCTATATCGGCGGGCTCAAAGATTTGTGTAGTGACGGCAGGGGTACGACAGAGAGAGGGAGAGTCGAGACTCAACTTGGTGCAGCGTAACACAGATGTATTGAAAATCATTATCCCGCAGGTATATTACATATCAACTTATATTAATAATACTCTTTTTTGTGCAAAAAATATTTGCATAAAAGAATTTAATATAAAATATGCTACCAAAAGACGACATTATTGCTCAAAACATTATCTTACAGACAAACTGATATTATAATATATATTTTAATTACTTCTTAATCGATGAAAGCGCCAATAAAATTCCAAAGTAATTCGAGCGGCAGTAAGTTTGTTGTCTGCTGTATTAGGTCAAAACCTCAGCGAAATGTGGGCATAATAACTGTTGGGTTATATTGAAAAATAAAATATTTTTAAATTTGTAATATAATAATACATAATATCAAAAATGTAGAAACTGACGGTGGACAGTAAAGACTACAGCATGGAGTTTTTCAAGAAGGGTATATTAAGGTTTTTTAAAGTCGGCAACGCGCATGTAACACCTCTGGAGTCTCAAGCGCTCATAAATTACGGTAACCATTTACCATCAGATGGGTCGTATGCTTGTTTGCCACCGTACTAGTAAAAAAAGGTTTAATTATGTATTATTTTTAACAGTTAGTGAAATACAGCCCCGACGCGATATTCATTATCGCCAGTAACCCAGTGGATATCCTCACCTACGTAACGTGGAAGATCAGCGGTCTTCCAAAGCATCGTATCATCGGTTCTGGGACCAATCTGGACTCCGCGCGGTTCAGATACTTGCTCTCGGAGAAACTCGGCGTCGCGACCACATCGTGCCATGGCTACATCATTGGAGAGCATGGTGACAGTAGCGGTAAAATACCATTTATATTAAATAGAGGATTAATTTTCATTATAAACTACTATACTGGTTCAAATGAAATTATTGAATACACAGATTATGGTCTGTGATGAAATTTTATAACATTTCATTCATTTCATTCCTAGATTAAGATATGGTATAGTTTTCAACATTTTGGTGTTTTAATAAAAATACCAAGTTAGACTTTGTTGGAAGTCTACATGGGTATCTATTTCACTTACTTCTGTTGCCAGCAGCTTGCTTTGTTATGTTATGCTTTGAAGACATAGATAATGAAATTGTAGACACTTAAGCTACTAGAAATGCGTAAGTACTACGCGAGTAGTAGGTAGGTACCAACTATTACAGATAACATACTATTACATACAACTATACAGAACGAACGTCAGTCCATGTTGTTCATGCACTGTCAGTTTGATTGTTATTCCAGTTAATTAAGTTAAAAAAAATAGACATTAACTTTGGCTCGCGTATGCATGTCTATTTTCACCATGTCAGATCACCAAATCTAGTAAAATAGGTGCCTAGATTATTTCGTTTCTACATTATTTTCATACTCCTCACAGCTCAAGTTTTTTTAAGGGAACAAATCATAGAGAGAGAGAGCGGTCTGATAGAATAAATAGAAAACAATATCCTCTTTTTATTAGAATATCATTGTGCTCTGTAAAATAAATAAGCTTTAACTACCTTACTATTAAACCAACAGTGCCGGTGTGGTCTGGTGTTAACATTGCTGGTGTACGTCTCAATGACCTAAACCCAAAGATTGGAACGGACTCCGATCCTGAGAATTGGAAGGAGACCCATGATATGGTGGTGAAAAGTGCTTATGAAGTCATAAAATTGAAGGGCTACACCTCCTGGGCTATAGGTCTATCGTTGGCTCAATTGGCGCGCGCAGTTCTCTCTAATGCAAACAGCATCCACGCAGTATCTACTTATATCAAGGTATTTGTCAAGTGTACAATACTTACACTTTGTATAACTAATATTTACCTAACATAATTTATTTTTGAAATAGTTTTGATTGTTTTTACTAATTCTAAAAAATTAATGACATTTCAAATTTAACACAGACTAAAATTAAGTATAGTAAGTAAGAGTATGATTAAGTTTCTTGTGCCGCTGAATTAATACATAAATATAGAAAAAAGTTTTTTAATCGATATTTAGTTACCATATCTTGAGTATTACTACCAAACTTATTTTCAGGGTGAACATGGCATTAAGCAGGAGGTTTTCCTGTCTCTACCGTGCGTGTTAGGACAAAATGGCGTCTACGACGTCATTCGTCAGCCTCTCACGGAGACAGAATCTGCGCAACTGAGAAAATCAGCCGAATTAATGGACAAAGTACAGGAAGGAATCCAGTTTTAAGTAAATTTATAATAATTGAAAATACTATGATAAATCATACATGCAATCATCATATATTGCGTTTTAATCGTGTATTTTCAATAGAATTTATTGTTACTGCTCTTATTTCTCACAAAATAATATATAAGCATACATACACAGGTATATCATTTATCTTTTTTATTTGCATCATTCTAAATTGATGTTTGATCTCTGTGTCCTATTCTGATAATTTTTAATGATTTTAACAAATATATTTATTATAAAAGGATATAACTACATACATTTATATCTGAAGTAATTTGGAAATTTATTGTAAACTGTCACAAGGACAAGATACCTACTTATGTGGAATAATAACATTTAAATTTTTATAGTTTTTAATGTGTGTTGTATTAGTTTAGGAAACCTGTTGTTTTAAAATATTTACGGTACGTTAAGAGGAACTGTTCTAAATATGCATTTAAAACGCTTTTAGTATTATATAAATAACGTGAAACGTATAATAAAGCTTAAATATAAAGCATTTTAGCTATTTATGTACTGGGTCTCGAACTTCGCGATTAATTGTTCGTTTGAAAGATTTTTACAATGTAGGTACATAAATATCTAAATAGTTTTCATTGAGATTTTTATGAGTAATCAATCTATTATTTTATAAGAAATATATGTTATTAAGATTTGGCAAAATGTAAGTGACCTTAATGAATCACTAATTTTATAAAGATTTTTATAAACTATTATTAATTAGAACAAGATTAAAAAAACGTGATAATTGTGTAATTTGTGACTTTTATACTTTATATTTCCTAAAGATTTATGATTAATTTTTGTGATAAGACGTTTTTATAGTAATTGTCCAGTGTGTCTATGCCTTAATAAATTAATAAGCACAAAAAATATACATATGTGTAATACATGTTAACGATTCTGTCTTCTAATCAACTTGTAATTATTTTGTTGATACTATTATCGCGTAATATATTTATGAAGTCGACTGTACAGATAAGGTCTCGTTGTATCGTATATACGAATATATACTATTCGATCTAATTAGTACGTCTTAACCCAATGATAGAGACAATAATTAGTTATGTTAATGACAACAATCCTATCTATAGCAGATAAAATGAGTATATTTCTAAGTTGGATATTAGATGCCATGTTACTACTCGCAGTTGAACGTTTCTTTTTTATAAAACTGAAGTTATTATCAGGCTTACGGCGTACCTGATAGTAACAGTCTACTACTACAATGGCCGCTATTAAGGACATGGCGTATCATTTTGCGCTACACGTTTCGGTACCTAATTTGACTGCTATATCTCACTAATCGAAACAGAATATTTTCCAAACTGAACTGCTGGGTGTCTGAAATAGGCGATAGAGGTACGAAGACGTTGAGACAGTAATGCTCGCTATAAAGTTGTAACTTAAGGCGCCTGGTTATTGTGGTCCCTGTAATACTATTGAGAGATGTGATAACTGTCTCATCCGTCATGCTCGAGAACGGTTGCTACTTGATCTATTCGGGTTACAAACAGTGATTAGACTATTTGCTTTTACAAAATTGTAATAGCATATGCTAGTGAATCTCTGTTATTGTACGTACTTACGTACAACTTTCGTATTCGAAAAAAATACGAGCTGATTTTCTTGTAAGTTCTTCTCAGCTCGAACGCATTCCGGACTAACGGTAGATTTGACATATCATCAGTCTGTAATAGACCTATAAGAATAAATATTTTTGATTTAAGTTCACTTAAATTTATCTAAAATAATATTACCTACATTTATTTATGTTGTAGAAATATGAAGTAAAACTGTAAAATATAAACTGAAAAATATATTTAATGGTAAGATGAGTATATGTAATGTAAATGTGAAAATATATGTAATGGTAAGAGAGTGAAGTGACTATATAGTTTTGATTAAAGAATACAAGAAAACTTTAAATATATTAATATCAAAAGAGTTTCTCAACTATTTAGCATTAATATTTTATTATGTCATCAGCATAATAAAGGTATAATCAAGCAATTTAGATTAGGGTGCACTTTTTGATATGTTGGGAATATATGGAAGTTAGTAATCCTCCAACAGGGTAGTTGGAGGATTACTAATTTCCATATATTCCGGAAATGAGGAAAAATAAAAGCAAATTGCATTTTTCACAAAATTATATAATGAAATTTATATAGTTACATCAGTACTAGTACAACTTGATAAATAGTGACACTGGCATACAGATCGCTGAGTACAACTACGGAGTAAAACGGTAAGCATACCATTAAATTAATAAGACTTTTTATGCTACAGTGCCGAGATAAACATCATATTATACATACTGTTTTCCATATAACACTCAATATTTGCTGCTCTCCGGATGAAACATATATACTTTATATATTATTACTATTAATTCTTTATCAGATTATTATAAATGGCAACACTGTAAATATAGATACATTGTATTTTCTTTAATTTGAAAATATATTGCGCATTTTTATAGTATTCCAATTAATATAGTATAAACGATTTATTTAATCCGTTAAATGAACAGTATAAATACCTGATATAGAAATATATATAATTCTGTACAAAGTTACTGTTAAATATCATAGACAAGAAAGTTATATCTAGTACGAGAAAAGGAGAGTCAGAGTACCTATGATCGTTGTGGTAGGAGTTAGTGGTAATTTAATAATTGTATTACAAAATATCAAGATTTAAACAGTGATAACAAATTTATGAACAAATATATACCTCTTATATACTTGTTCCATAATCTGACATTTATTATGTGTTTTGATTACAAGAAGTTTTTATTAGAATATACTAGATTTCTAGAACATAATCTGTGGAATGGTTATCAGGATTAAATCAATTTTAGTATAGATAATAAAATAAGGAAAAGTTTTCTCAATTCGTTTTAAATAATAAAGTTTCATTAAATTTCAATGATTAACATAATGCACAAGGTAAATTATTGATATTAAAAAAATGAAAATAATATTTATATAAGAAATTATGGATATTAAAGTATGTATAGACAGATGTGAAATGTATAAATTACACAATGTATAAATAATCAAATATCAAGGATGGGATCTCGTACTCCAATTAAGTTGTAATAATTTCAGAAGTGACTTAAAATTAAAATCTTAGTAACTTGTTTCGCGTAATATTATAATAGTTAAAGTTACTTATTTCCTCTATATTGGAGCACGATGCAATTAAAAAATAATTATTTTAGATATTAATGAGTAACATTAAAAGGCATTGGAATGACTGTTGTGTGCGTTTTCTCACAATTCCATCGTGCGGAGTAACGCACTAAGCTATTGTCGCCGAAAAGGCTAAATGGTATAACCCGTAAAATGCAATATTTGAGTAAATCACGTTCGTATACATTTTCGACTGTTATACTAGACAAGGAACCACTAATACTCGATCTAAGTCGGGGTAACAAAATGCTAGACCAAGATACTCTATATTTTAAGTTCATAAAAATTATCTTGACTGTAATGTATGTTACAAAATTTCTAAATTTGAGCTTATTTAAGAAATATAATTGGACTTTAAGTAATAGAGTAAAAAGTATTCTAAAATCTTCTCTTTATAAGGTAACTACCACTTTGATGGCAATGCCAAAATCCAGTTTCTTCAAATTTAATTCTTGCATGTGTCGTAATTAGGTTTTAGTCATATAAATAAAGTCTAATTAAGACACAAATATATATATTTTTTATAAATCTATATAAAATGTGAACGACCGTAATTTAGGGTTACCACATTTAGCAGTATCAACGACAATACGCGTATCTGGTGAGTGTGTGCACTATATGAAAATCAGCTTACATATTTGGACGAATGTGGCAACATTACTATCAACATTCTTTTCCACCCACATAGAAGCCCTAGTTAACACGTGATATACAATTATTTGACATTTGTAGCAAAATTATAGTAATATCTAGTTGTTTATGTTTGTAACATTTTATATGTGTATTAATACTTGTTTCATATGTTCATAGATTTTGTTCGTTTACACGTGAACATATGAACATGTGTTTTGTAGTATTATAGAGCCGAATGTATTATAGTTTATACACTGTATACATTGGCGGAAACGCGGTGTTACAACTAACTATCAGTTATATATACTATAGCGATCTCATTATACGCCGTTACGTTTACTTACAGAATAAAAATTTTGCGTTTTGGTCAGAAATTAGGATAATCATTACATGCTAACTTAGTACTATATACATTTTAATAGTTTAACAAGTACACGTTAAATTAGGAATAAGCATGAAATATTATTTTAGCATAAATCACAGACACTTTTACAATCGGCCGCTCTCAAAATCATACAAATTTTACATAATGGTTATTTTCTTATATATTTTTTCTTATCATTTTAATATCCAATGATCAGTTCATGTACGTAAAAAAATATTTAGATATATCTGTGAATAAAAATATGAGGCAAATTAATAGAGCTAACGGCTTCTAATGACAATAAATTTGGCATATATTTGTATTAAACGATACAAATACGATAAATAACCAAATACATCGCAATATAATTTCACGTAACTAATATACCAAACTCGACAGGTGGGCACATTGACTATAGAACGATTATAGTTAAACTACAGCTTAGAGAAAAATCATAACCTAAATTGTGTGTATGAATGTTTAGTAAGATCTAAATTTGGCTGATGCCTTTGTCTCTTAATAAATGTAAATCTCTTGGCTACAAGAAAGTTCTCACATTAATTAAATATTTAAAATATAATGGTCGTAATTGCCAGTGAATAGCAAATTCGTCTGTTTGAGTCTACACTAATATCAGTTCGGGAAATGATGCTTCGCTCGTCACATAAAGTATACAGCGCGGTAGTATTTACACTACCAAAACATGTGTATGGAGAAATATTATTCAACCATAATTATGATTAGTCTGTGCATCGAAATCGCCGCAGTCTCTATCTCGCCAAATACGAGGTGGTAACATATAGAGAAATGTCGCTTTGGCGGTATAGAATAGTATTTACGTATTGGGTTTAAGGAACAATTATCGATATTATATATGTTGTCTACATATTGGTGATGTTGGTCGAAATCTACGAAACGGTGACAAACGATACGAACTATTTGCCACTGACATTAACCGATACTCAAAGCATGTATTTGATACCTCGTCGCGTTAAGAACTATGTATGAGTGTAATTCACAGATACCAAAGCAACAATGTATCAGAGATATATGTTTTGCGTATCGCTCGTTATACAGTTATTGAGTATTGGCCCGATACACGTATCGTAACTGCATACGATACATATCGCCCATGACTAGCGGGTGGCAGTAGGAACGGGACACGTCTACATAGCGGACGCGTCGTCGCTGCACGGTCAAGTGTCGTTGGGTGAACGTAGCGAGTGTAATGCGTTACCATGACCAGCGGGACGTCGTCGGTCTAAGAACGTTTTCAGTTGTGTAGCTGATAGAGTAGTTGCAGGCGCCTGGAAATAAACATTGAATTTTGTTAATCTAGTACAAATGATAACTGGTAATTGTGGACTATGTACAGGACTAGCATTATGGATATCATTCAATATCAACATATTGTAAAGCCCGTCCTGAAGATGAAGAATGTAATTTCATTATATTACTCAATATAATATATGTAATCAATACACGTATATAAAAAATATGGGTATGAAAATAATTCAATTCTAATCAAATAGTCAGTAATCCAATAGTTGGCAAATTTGACATTAACACTGGACGCTGGTAGCAAATAATCGGAGAAAGTCTTACCTCGTCGAACCAGCGGTCTTCAAGGGCGTCCTTAAGAGACAGCCGACGGGAAGGTGTCGGCTCCAGCAAGCCCCTTATGAGCTGCTGCGCCCTTTCTCCTATGCCAGCCCAGTGCTCCGGCGGGAAGCAATAGTCGCATTTTATTATGTTCGCTGTAGTTTCTTCTATTGATTCGTCCAAAAATGGCGACAACTGGAAAATCAAGATATGTTTAAAAATATACATTTTTTTAATATTCCCATATCCCCTTCTTTATTGTAATATAGAGAGACAAGGTCTATATCCACATTAAGTGACAAAAATAAATAAGTCAAAGTTCTTATATATTTTGTCTTTAAATTATTATGATAGACGAAAGCAATGATGACGGTAAAGAACAGGAATTACAACAATTTGGAAGACGATTGCCATGAAATCTAAATGGTAAAACGTAAAGTCAATTGATTTGATTGTACATATACTGCCACAATGCAATATTGTACTGAAATTTGAACTATAGATTAAATTCAGTGTGTCCTAAGAGCTCAGTTACATAGACTTGTAATCAAAGACTCACCCCTGTTAAAAATACATATAAGAAGACCCCGGCAGCCCAGGCATCCCACGCCGATGCAGGCGGTCTGCCGAGTACGCACTCTGGCGGCGCGAATTCAAGCTGCGCTGGCGCAGGCGGCAATACGTCTCTACCAGATGTTCCCGCGGTGCCTTCGCCTGTCTCTACTGCTGAACCTAAGTCGATCAACTTCAGCTGAGGTTGTGTACCGCTCAGTTCTACCAGGATATTTTCAGGCTGTGTAAAATAAAGAACAACCAAATCCTGTGATTAATAATTATTCTGAAATAGGAGAGGTCAAAATTATTGATATCAAAGTACAATCTCAACTTCATTGGCCTAGACAAAGTCTAAAGCCAAAAATAATAACACAATTGTTCAATACAGTAGATGTAACTTACCCTAACGTCAAGATGCGCGACATTGTTGCTGTGCAGCCAATCAAGCGCCGACAACAGTTGCTTTGTGTGTTGCGCGACCATTTGTTGCGTGTACACATGCGGCGAGGAAGCTGCCCACTCGAGCAATGGGCCGCCTCCTATAAGTTCCAGTACAAGTGTGTGTGCACCTGCACGCGGCACCTCAGCAAACAACGCCATAGCGCGGACTACTGCGCCGTGTGCCGACTGCGAGAGGATGCGATATTCACGCATCGCGTCTGCACCGCGACCAGCTAATACCTAGACGAAATTGGAAATGTAATACAAGAACAGATAAAGAACCAAATAAAACAAAATAATAAATTATAATTGCAAATGTAACAAGTGAAATAAGACAGTCTTGTGTGACCAACCTGTTTCAATGCGACCCTTTGACCGGTGCCTGTGTCTCGGGCGGCTAGGACTCTAGCAGTGCGACCGCGTCCTATTTCCTCTTCTACGCTGTATCTTCTTGCGAATTGTTCGCGCTGCCAGCCGCCGCCGCCGCCACATGCAGCCGGCCCAGACGCGGTCCCAGCTGCGCCACTACGGCCGCATATTAATCTAAAGCTGTATTGGCCTGCTGGCAATTCCTCTAAAGCTAAAGTGTTAGCCGCGGCAGGCGTCTCAGTCGCTCGTCTCCATTCTCCTTCACCGACGCGACAGTATTCTAAATGTGCGGGTGTCGGTTCGTCCCATTGTACGACGAGTCCTCCGCCAGGATGCGCGCGGACCGCCGGTACGCCTGGTACCCCTCCCGACCCCACGGTCAGTCTTGCTGAACATTGTACACCACCCAACTCGTTGCTAATGAGACAGCAGTAGACGCCCGCATCGGAAGCTCGACACGCATGGATTGTGAGCGCGGCGAGACCTTCAGGGGTGAGGCTGATTGCAAAACGCCCACCGTGACGTAACACGCGAGTCTCTGGTGCCGTTTTTCGCCATGAGGCAGAGGCGCGAGTGGCGACGGCGCGACAAGACAGTGTAGCAGTAGCTAAGGGCGACACTGTGACATCAGTAGCCGGTTCTGATAGTTCAGGCGCGCGTAGCTCGGTGACAATGCCGTCCACGCTGGATTCGCCACTGCCACCGCTACCTCCGCGCCGTAGCTTCAATCCCCACGGTCGCTTCGACAAGCCCTGTTACGATTCACACACTGATTTCTCGACGTTGGTTCGGTTACAGTGAAGCGTGATTCACAAGCAACACATGCATGCCCATAGCGCTCCATCACCGTGGAGACCGTCCACTTTTGTTATTACAACTAAACTATTTGCAACGAATAAATAAAACTTAGTCATTGGCGGCTATTCCGAATCACTACGCACAAAAAGTCCCGCAAGTGAGTCGAATTGGCTCGCTATCACAGTCTATGTTAAAAATGCATTCCCCCGTATATCATACCTACAACAAAAGAAATATAGACAAGCGTTAAAATAAGAAGAAGACATGCAAAAGAATAAGAAAATGCAAATTATAGTTAGTGCTGCAAAGTAGATCGTATAAAGTACTACGAATTTATAAAAGAAAATAAAACAATAGATCTGTACCATTTAATTAACAGTGCTTGAAGTGAAGGTGACAGAGATAGAACAATCATGCAAAACCCAACTAAAGCTAAAAAAAGTAAAGCGTCACAATCCAAACGATATTTACCATAGAATTATGAATTTGTTTGGATATTCAGATAAAATAGTATGCCATTTATTTAAATACAGTTTTTTGTTTAATTAAATGGCAATGCCTCCGACTACCCCATTTGGGTTAACAGTCATAAGAACTTATTTTAACGTATATTTAGTAAATTCTCTTTGCTGGATATAACTATCTTTTTGGATTATTATTATTATTTACAACACCAAAAACTAATTCTAATGGTTTATTCAAAATATATATATTACTGAACCCCCTATTCCGTGAGAATTTTAATAAGTTTTTTCCTAATGTAACATACATTAGGAAAAAACTTATTAAAATTCTAGCGAACTATACAGCATCTATAATAGTTAACGCTAAGAAATCACTTCTTTGGATTTTTAACGTTCGGATTGTCTACGCTCTACAATTATTGAAAATTTTAACTAAATTATTGTTAAAGTTTAATGAAAACTAAGCGATTTGTGTTAGAGCTGCCAGCCTTTTATCGTTTTTACTTTAATTTTTTTTTTTTAGGGAAAAGTCGGGTAATTTGGACTACATTCTTATTCAATCTTTAGTGTATATCATGATTAATCATGAATTATTATTAGGCTTTACATATATGAAACTAAAGTAATAACTTTAGCTTAGTTCTAATTTAGACCATTGGTTTTGTTCTTTGAGTGACGACGTTAGACTTCGATAGGCTCTAGTAAGAAAAACAACCTAAATCTCGGCAAGATACCGACAAAATATTGAAAGATATTCATATAAAACAATCACCGCAAAAAATAATGTTTTATATAAAAGTTTGCGATTCCAATATTAATAATATACACACTGTACAACAGCTGACATATTTTTAGTCAGTAATTACTTTTGAATTTGACACATTCTTTCTTCTAATTAATAGCTGCTATTATAACTGGACGAGAAGGGCTTAAGATTGTGCCCAGTGGCGTGCCTTGGGAGAGGCCTATATCCAGCAGTGGACTGCAGTGGGTTGATGATGATCAGAATCATAAACTATTTTCAAATGCGCTGCAAAATATAGTGTGCTAATCATTTTTAATTTGTTTACTCTCATTTATACCTCTACTATAAATGCCATTATATAGAAGGTACTGAAATCTTATGCATTGTTATTTAGACTATTTCCCTTATTAATTAATCATATATTGCATTTTGCAAATGTTTCTACTGTTCGTAATATAATCTATAAGTTCAATAATATTTAATAGTGATAGTAAATTGAACCTGTCTATTTTATTTTATCTGCTTGTGGTCCATATATGCAATGTTAGAAGCATACCTTATCATATCCATTTATTGAAATTGAAAAACTACTATTTAATATATGAGAGTAGTCCAATTCAGTTGACAGTCCAATATTCAATACTTTCCCCTAAATGCTTTTAATATTATACAGTATTATAAATGAAATAAAAAAATAAATGGGTAAATAATAAACGAGTAGTATATTACTTTTTATTTCATAAGTGTTAAATTAAACTAAATTTTGTTTTCAACAAAACATTTTTTTCCTTTTATTCACCTTCTTTTATTTAATTTTGTATTATTCGGTTCATCATAAATGTAATAATATTGTACTTTAATGGTAAACCATTAATATTGTACATTAATGGTAACCTATGTATTATTATATGGATAATAATACATAGGTACTATATAAACCGATTACAAAACCACAAAACTTTTAAGAAATTTAAAGCAGACCTACGTAAACAACTGTAGAGAAATAATTTTTATTTATGCAAATATGTAACTTCACAAGACCTGTGACGAATTCATTTCATTCGCCTAAATTATAGTTTTATACATAATTGTATCCACTGTCCATGCAATATTTTGTCATTTATTTATTGTGTATTCAGTAGTAGTCTTGAGAGTAAGACATAAACTAGTTTTCATACCTAGGTAACAAGTACATATATTACCTGATTTTTATTTTATAATTAGTCATTAAGAAATACATATAACCCCAAATACCCTACGACCTTATTTGTATCAATTCCTATTTTTAATGGCACTTTAATAATTTTCCACTCTCTTTTTTTAATATGATTAGCAAAATATTCACTAGAAATAATTTGTTTGCCAAAACAATGTTTGCTGGGTCGGCTAGTAACATACTCGTTTATATATTGCATTTTGTAATTTGCATGAGATTATAAGGTGAATGTGTGTATTTTAGTTCTATTCTAGGTTTATGAAATCAGCTATCTATGTACTTTAAATTATTAATTTATATATAATATATAATATGATAAATTAATAACTACCAATGTATGATGCACACTAATTCACAATAAGACAAGTACCTAAATGAAAATACTGGCTAAATAAACAAAGTTCTATTTTCTTTCATAAGATTCTTTGTAGATTCATTTTTAGTAGGTACTTGACGTTTATAAGCAGCAAAAATATTGAGCTCTTGACGTTCATAAGCGGTTAAATGATTTCTGAATTTTAAATTTGAATTTGGGCACTAATGCTATGTAATTTGTTTTATCTAAATATTTCAGTATATATTTATAAATTTAAGCATTGTAAGCATTTTAGATTAGTAACAATCTGTTGTAGTGAAAGGCCTGTGGTTAATATATCATCAGAATATTCATATATATATATTTTCAGTTTTCATTGTGCTTAATTCATATTCGGTTGTATAAGATCCCTATATATACTCATTTGAATATATATTGGATCATTTTTATAGGTACATAGTAACCATCATTTATTACCATTAGATGCTGGTTACCATACCAGTAGTTATTGTTATAAGTTTAAAAACAACGCTGGTCCCAATGAAATTATCCACAAACCTATAGGTGAATTAGTAGTCGGTGTTAGTAAAATAATCTACGGTCACATTAGCGGATGAAGACTTGTATCGCGTTGTCGCGCTAGAACTTTATGTTAGGCCTGCGGTGTACTAAATAGATTATCTTCCCAACTTCTATTTCCTTTGAAGAATCTGTATTTCTGCATGGATTTTATATGCGCTAATAAAAAACATCAGCTAGAACGGCATTCAAGTTCCGCCAGATAATATTCCTGGCCTGGCCAAACATGTCGCGACAATGCAAACCGCCGAATGCCGATAATGTGGTCGCAGTATAAGTGTTAGTCAACCCTTTCACCTCAGGCAACCTGAGAGTGTACTCACGTTGGCATGCGGCGGTGAGGTGGGACTCACGGCCGTATTCCCTGTAACGTTAACTGTCTTCTTTCTCTCGTCGCTGCGACTTGTAGTAGTAGGTAGGTTGATTGTGTTCGCTTTAGCGTGCGGTCGCTGCGTGCGCTGGCGCAATTCGGGCGCTAGCCGACCGCCCAGTGACGGCGGAACGCTCTCAGTTTTACGCAGACCGCACCAACCCTCACCCACGCTAATAGGACGGGAATAGGACCAATTAAAAATTAAGAGAAATAAAAAAAAAAACGGGCACGCCAGCTCGGTACTTCGCTTCGCCTTTGGCTTTGACTATAGGAAATAAAAGGATTAATGGTTGCGTTGTTAGGCGAAACGAACATATCTACGCTGTACATTTTGATGGCGCGACCTTAGTTATTGCAAACGATTATTTGGTTAGTGAGCATTACTTGCTATGTAGCGTTGCGCGTGGAGCGTATAGAGTCTAATAGCGTATTATTACTAAGCTGGCCCCCGAACAGAAGATTAAAAAAATAAAGAAAGTCAATATAAGAAGCATGCGGGACTAGAAGCATTAAACCACAAGCATTTTTGATCCACATTTATTAGTTACTCATGTAACATATATTTCTGTATTACAGTGATTGTTAGAAATTAGTAGTAAGTATATACATAATTTAGGATTTTGATAAGTATATATACATATGACAAATACAAAACTAACGCACAAGAAACTTGTTCAAATACAAAGAAGTAACTCATTGGTAACTGTTGGTCGAAAATGTCATTGCAGAATGTTTAAAGTACAGTAGATATGAAAATACATGAAATACAGAACAATATTTATATTTAGAACTCGGAAAAAATGTTACATGAAGTACATATAGATTGGTTATTACGATTATGTATTTATTAAACATTGAATACTTGAAGCGATTATATAATGACGCGTCGACTCACTCTTGCCATGACATGTTTGTATAATGAGAAATAGCACAAAAGTAACTAATACTAAACCTATACGGTACAAAGTACAGTCTAAAACCAGTGGAACATTGGATCTAAACAGCCGCAGTGAAGCGTGAACAAATCAAGCAACCCTTATATAAAAACAAACTTTACTCTAACTAAAACCAGCCGGTAATAGCAATACTCACTGTTAAAATACTCCCGTCACACTACTGGAGTTACAAGAAATGTAATAACAAGTGAGTATAGCTAACAACAGCTTTAGTATTCAAGAATGCAAGTCAATAATAATATCCAAATGTTACAATAACCAACAAATTAATTCAGTTTATACAACATAACATAGCCACGACTTAAAACCTCTTCATTAACTTTTCACTTGATGTAAAATTACAGACCTGAGCACTTCTAATAAGCGAATTTATTTATACGTAACCTTACATTCACTTTGTATTTGTGTTCTTATAGCGTTACGATTGCACCAACCCTGACTTTCGCATAGCGTCCCATACCATAACCTAACGAATACATGTTTCATTAAATAGTTATAGTAAATATCTTAACATTATTAACATCGAAAGCGCAGTTTTAAGCAAATCATGGCCTTACTAATCTATTAAAATGTTATTATAATTTATTTGACCGAAATTATAAAAAATATATCAGGGTTGTAATGTCAAATGATTGGAACGCGTGGACGTAACAAATATAATAGTCAGTTTCGGCCCCAAAACAACAAAGTAAAGTAATCAAAATTCAATACACGCTAAACTGTATATGGGACAAATGAATACTTTATTACGAAACCAGATTAAACGGTCCTATAACTACGAATTATTATATCATTATTCTATTCTTTTTAGCACAGCAATTGTATTAGAACGTTTCACAATAGCTATACTCAGATAAAAAGTATAATGAATTATTATTACAGCGTTCAAGTAATAATAAATAGCTAGGTATTATTTGATAGGTATAGTCGGCAAGTAATCAATTCCTTATTAAATAACAATCGTCGATTTTTATATCCTAAGGGTCGAGTCTTAATTAATGATAATACTATAAATGCGATTAAATACGGTTAAATATAATTACGTGATTAAATACTATTAATGTAAACAGAATGATTAGACGCGGTTAAATGTAATATATGAGTTTTATTTACTACCTAAATTAATGTGTATTAGATAATGCATATACGGTTGCCTTATATTAACAGTGATCAAGTTTAACGAGATCGCCTTTAAATTGTATTACTAAAAACTATTATAGCTTACCATCGCTCTAAATATTAAGTTTACCTACTCTATTGATTATTATATAATATAATGTAGATGTGACTATCCTACGTTTAAACTGTGTAATTCAAAATGCATTAATATAATACTTAACCTATTCTAAGGGTACACATTATTTAATTTTTGAAGAAATAGAAGTGTGAATTTCCAGTATCAGTATAAGTTGTAAAAATAGAAACATTAGATATAATACATAAAGTATTATTCCATAAACATGAGATCTCATCATATGGTGGTAATAATGGCAGTTCTTTGGCAGTATTTTAAACGATTTCAAATTATAGATAACCTAGTTAATTAATTTCAATATATACTACTTATATTACTAATAATTAATCACGTACATTCTAACGACAAAATAAAAAAAATCGGGTCCAAGTACACTTTCGAAGACCTAATTAAGACAATAACAAAAATGCTTTTCGAGAAAAAAATAAGCAATACCTAACCTATTTTTTCTCGAAGTCATGCTACAATATTGCCATTTGGCATATAGAGCATAGCTTATGCCCCTCAAATCATCATTGGGACAACCTAACCTAAAAATTAATGAACAAACGTTAGTAGTAAGAATATGGGTTGAAAATAGGAACAAATAATAAGAAAAAATAAAAAAAAAACATATATATAGTAAAAAGCATATACTGTACCATGATTTAGTGAAAGAAATAGGAAAGTAATCACTCTCCTCTTTTTTTCTCGAAAACTGGGTACAGTATATACGTTTTGGTATATAGAGCACAGGTTAAAACTTCTTTTGTAACAAAAAATAATGCATTTACGTTGGTAGGAACAACTTGAGCAGAAAAAATAAATCATTAATAAACTACAAAAATAAAATCAAAATAAAAATGTAAAAATTTCAAGAAAAAAGGAAGTGATATAAATAAAATCAAAATAAAGAATGTAAAAATTTCAAGAAAAAAAGAAGTGATAAGACTCCTATTTTTTCTAGAAAGCCTGCTACAATATATGCTTTTGGCATATAGAGCATAAGATTATGTCCCTCAAACCATCACTGGGACAAAGTAAAAAATATTTATTTGAATACTTTAAAGTTTTAAAAAAACTAATTCAGATACGTTGAGATTAAGAATTTGGACGGAAAAAATAAATCGATAATAAACTACAAGAATAAAATCAAAATAAAGAATGTAAAAATTTCAAGAAAAAAAAGAAGTGATAACACTCCTATTTTTTCTAGAAAGCATGCTACTATATATGCTTTTGGCATATAGAGCATAGATTATGTCCCTCAAACCATCACTGGGACAAAGTAACAAAGATTTATTTTAATACTTCAAAGTTTTTATAAAAATTAATGCACATACGATGGGAGTAAGAATTTGGTCAGAAAAATAAACCAATAATAAACTACAAAAATAGAAGCAAAGTAAAGTAAAAAAATTCGAGAAAAACATGATTACCCTTCTATTTTTCTCGAAAGCATGCTACAATATATGCTTTTTGGCATATAGAGCATAGGTTATGTCCCTCAAACCATCACGGGGACAAACAAATAAATGATTGTTAATACTTTAAAGTCCAGATTAAATGTATAAACTGAAGCTAGGTAGGAATGTTTAGTTTAAGAAATAAATTAGAACAAAATAAAAGTACTTTGTGAAAAAATGAATTTATACCACTTTTTTTTTTCTCGAAAACATGCTACGATATATGCTTTTTGGCATATAGAGCATAGGTTATGTCCCTCAAACCATCACTGGGACAAACTAATAAAAGATTCTCTAACACTATTCAAAGCATTATGAACCGAAGTTTGATAGTAAAAAAAAAACCAAGCAGAAAATAAAAAAAAAATAAGCATGAAATAAGACATCGAGAAATCAGGAAATGATTCTACTTGTTTTTTTCTCGAAAGCATCCTAAAATATATGTCTATTGGCATATAAAGCATAAGTTATACCCTCAAATGATCACTGAGCAATACTAACAAAAGATTTTATAATATTAAAGATTTTATAAAAATATATTACCTTAAATAATCTCGACCCCTGCATTAATTATACGAACATAAGGAATCTCGCAATCAGATCACGTATTTCTCACTCAGTAGTTTATCGAAAATTTTGTAACAAATATATATATATATATATATATCTCATCTTTGGAAACTAATGCCTCTTCTACTGGAACACTGTGGGTTTATGAATTACTTAAAAAAATGTATCGTAAATTAACAGATGAAGTACGTATATAAATTAATAGAGAATTGAAATATTATTAGGTCACAGGACAGAATAGCTTTTGGTTTTAAGGAGATTTATAAATTCATTGGTCACCTAGTAAATGTGTATTGAATATTAATCCTAGCATGCACCTATATACTATCCATCACTTTCAATTATTTGCGTACCATCATACCTTTATATCCAGTCTTCTTCGATTCCTACTTAATGCTATATAATAAATAAAATAATATAACTTTTTTATACTAATAGGTTCGGTTTTGTTGGAATTATTACGCCTTTGTTAACGTATTTCATTACTTGGAAATTGCGATGGAACTTAGGCAATTACATTACATTGTTGACATCGTAATATTGAATCAATGTTAATTTCATAGTAGTATCAGATTCAGTATGCCAAATATTATGACCGTAACCATTAAAATAAATATCTACAATTAGACATTCATAATAATTAAATTTCACAATTTTTATTTTATACAAATGCCGCAATCTGCGGTCACATTATCGACGCCACATTAGAGCGCGTTGTCACTATAAGGGCCCTGTTTTACATAGATCTTCTGCGGACTACATGTCTGTAATTACGCTTCGATCAAATTTAATTCGATGGCATTTGTGTTTGATATGAAAATTGAACAGCGTTACCTCAGCGAACTTTCTCGAGATCAAACTTACAATGAGATACTTGTTTTTAATACGCAGTGAACAGCAGTATTCGCAAAAACGATTCGCGATAGTATAGGGAAAGATTTGATCAGACATATCGCAACAACGCAACCGCCAAATGTTGATAATGCGGCCGCAGCATGAAATATAAATATGGCAATTATGTGCCAATATCGGATTTCATGATTGACTAGATAAAGGCACCATTAGTAAATTTGTACTAAATGGCACCCATCATTATAATTAACACTGATATACTACGTGCAAAGTGCCGTATTTTATATAATTCATTTGAATGAGGTAGATGTGTATAACGCCTGGCTCAATGGGCTCACGACGTGAATAATATAAACAAACATCTACTAGTATAATTCGACATTGTCCTATACATACTGTAGATATACTAAAGTATACGACATCAAATTCAACTGTTATTTAGAACAGTTGAAGCCTATGGTTAATTACAATTAGTGGCAGTATTTTATTGCATATTGTCAACACTGTGATACTGTAATCAGAAGGATTTCATCATCAGTGGAAGGCTTGCTGGATCCTACAAATACGTCTAAGCCAACGCTACAATAATTTGCATTAAAACGGAGCAACGGTTGCAATGACATGAGATAGGTGTGAGGTACATAACTACGCGTCCTAATCATAGATTAACATTAAATTTTCAAAATAATTATATCTAAATATCAATTCCAATGTAATTAACCTAACATGGACATTATTATAACTCACGCGTGGGAGCACGACTTTCCACGATTAATAATTAAATTATATTACAATTATATTTATTATCGTATCCATCACCGCATGTTAGTGTTAGGTTATAAAAAATAAATAATATGATATTAAATTTGTTATAATTATTCTACGTATCCGCCCCCACAAGCACGATCATTTGGATATTTCAATCATAAAAAAGTTCTTTAAAATTCGTTTTACCCGTCTCTGAATGTCTATTAAAATCGTCTGAATATAGGAAACGAATTATTTTATAACTCGTGTATTTAAGGTTTTAAAATCCCTGTTCAAATTGAATAAAAGATGATTAATTTTGATTTTATTAAAGTATCGTGCCTGCAGTGGGTACAAAAACATTCTGAAGTTACATTAGAAAATAATGTAAAATATTTTTGAAAACAAAAGAAAAGAAAAGTCAGGACTGGTAGAGGTGTGTTTTAGATTAGAGGGTCTATTTTAGATAGTACGCTAGAGTAAACGTATAATGCAATTGTTGTTTAATTATGAAGAACATTTCACATACACCTATGTTAATAGGCACCAAAAGCTTACACTCAATGTTAGTACTCGAATAGAAAAAAAATATTACAGAATTTCCAGCAAATCTAAATAACTTCAGAATATTTTTAATACACGCAATTATTAAGTTTTACATATATTAATTATCACGCCATGAAAAACCTGCTATTTGCCGCGAAAAATCTAAAGTGGTAGTATATACCATATAAATAGAAAAAAAATATTATCAAGCTGGGATTTTACTTTAATTTTAAAAATTAATATATTTATTAACTTAGTAGTAGAAAAACTTAATGAAAACTAACGTATTTTAACTAAATGTGCAATAAAGTTATTCTACTTATAGCATTATCTTGATGCAATTGTTAAAGTGATAATTGGACTAACTCAGTTTAGGATGAGATTCATAATGACTGGTACATAAAGGTGCGAACATAAATAGTAGCAAATGAGGCAGGTCCGACCTCTTTAGACTTTCGCAGCAGGTTGTTATAGGATGGACCGCTTATCACAGAGTAGCAGTATATTAATTATGGTTATGTGAAACGCTGCCAATGTTGGATGTTCGGATACGCTCACGTTACACGTATAAAGAGTATATATAATGATCAGCGTCACTGTCGCTGCCACTTGGCAACTCGCCTTTGGAATTTTTACTCGACAGTTTGATAACATTATGTAATATACCGCACATTGTAAATGTTTATTTAGTTTCATGTATTTATATACACTTATAATTTACTTCGAGCATGTGAAAAGAATGTCAGATAAAAAGATTACGATACAATTTTAATGCGACAGTGAGCACGCGGATACTGAGACAGGTCTAAATTTGTGTTGTAATGAGATAGACCGTATAATATCTGGTGTAAGATTCAAGATCGCGAGTTATGAAAATGTGTAGCAATTGAGTTACCGTAAGGGAAAACCTGATTTAGATATGTGATTTAAATAATTACATATACTCATTGTCTCCTCCACAAGTTAGGATACAGTTGAATACAGTACTTAAATGAAACACTACAAAGTATAATACATCATAATCTAGGTTCATGACGCGATAAGTACTTAATATAGTATTACCATTCCATAAACTACCCAGAGATTTGAGTAGTAATCTCTGCCTAAAATACTTATTATTATAAGAGACGATACTAGTCTAAACAATAAAATCACGCTACCTCTGGCAGCCGGCAAACATTATTCCGTTTCATAAACAAAGAGATAAACGTGGAATACCTAAGCCCACGGTTTTCCCTAAGTAACTTGTGCGTATCCGAAGACAACATTAAATACTAAATTGTATGTAAGATCCATACTGCCGGTATTGTTCCGCCTGTACTTACGCAGCGGGGTCGCGAGCTGGCTCTCTATGCAGCTCTCTATCCTTGAGATATGCGCCAGGATTCTCCAGAGCTTCGCCGAAGATTCTCTGCGACTGCAAAATCCTTGATAGCGTGGATATCCAATCCTGGCAGCGAGCTTCTGGAGCGCGGCACAAGTACGACTGTTTCGGTTTGTTGGGATCTACCGAGTGAATGATGAACGCTCCGGGGATCTCTACTTCTTCCAGTTCCATCTTGTTCACCTGGTAATTGATTGGACAATTACTGATTCTGCCACGGTTGCACTCTTTATATTAAAACACTGGTAGATAGACGTTATATTATGAATCGACTTCGACTCCATACTAATAATATAAATGCGAAAATATGTTTCTCTGATTGTTATTTTAATGGGTTATACTGATATTAATGAAATTTAAGTTGAACATACATAGATTATATCACAATGATGCCTCGGTGGTCTAGCGATTTAGCACATCGCTCTATTTCGGATGGTCGCGGATTCGATTCTTCGCACATTTTTATTCATGACTATGATTGTTTGTATCGGATTGGGTGTTTTCTTTGTATATTATGTATATAATATTTATAAAAAAAAAGAAAGTATTTATATCAGCTGTCTAGTACCCATAACACCAGCTCTGCTTACAGTGTGACTAGATGGTGCTGTGTTAATTGTCCAGGGTTATTTATTTAATTTTCTCCAAACTCAGACGAAGTTGGTAGTTATTAAATATGCGATGGCTCAATATTACTAGAAACTATGATGTATACTTATGATTTGTTCGTTTATATAAGTTTACAAACCTGCACATGTGCTTTGTAGTGGTATGTAGGGCTGACGAACTGAGTCTTTTTGCCTACGATTTTCGCTTCACTGAAGATCACGCATTGTTCGAATAGGAATACTTGGAACTCCTTGCTCTTCCCCTCGCGATCAATGCCGCCGCCCGTAATATCAGACACCACTAATGGTTCCTGGAACAATAGCTTTCCTTGGGAAGCTATGGGGGCCTGTAAAGAAAGAAACATCCTGTTAAACACACGCTTTTCATAAATAACTAACTAGATTTGCAAGATCTGTACTCATTTTTTTATACGTTTTTTTCTACGTATACCAATTATAATTGTGCATATTATATACGACCGATATAATACACAAAAAAAATTCCAATCCTTTCCCAATAATTTTATGTCATAGTTTTTTTAATATGATTGATATTAATCATGTTAAAAAAACTATGACATAAAATTATGCAATCAACTATTAAGATCCTTACTATTTATATTAATCAATAGGAAAATTTGGTCACATTTTTGAATAATTATCTTTATTTCTTAATGTATCAAGTGCAATAAAGTATATTAAAATTTTGTGTATCTTTTTCGATTCGGTTTATTAGTACTACTAGAATCCTCAAAACTGGTACGTTTGTTTAACGTACAATTATAAATAAGAACATAGTATATTATATCTGAATGTACAATTCGTACTGCAAATTAGTACTATGCGAAAAAGAAGAAACAATTACGGAAATAAAATTGCAGATGAAAATACGCCATGTGTATCAATTCAATTATTGCCAATAATATAATAAAATTAATATAGTGAACATACAAACAATAACAATATAAATATATGCCAATTAAAAATATTCTTTATTAAAATAAAACGCAACAGCCATAAATTATTCTAAAACTCATTTGCATATATGTATATAGTTCACTAATTAAAAAAAAATTGTGCAGACGCTACAGCGCTAGTACTTATATTTAATAGGAAGTAGTTATACTAAATTAACATACAATACATATATATAAATTAATATATATATATATATAGCAAATGCATAAGTTACATTAAATTATTAAAAATTAAAATAATTATTAATTATTAACGCAAATTATCATTATAATTAAATAGTCAATATTATAGTTTTGCCAATAATCAATTGATACAGACATCGCATATAGCCTAAATAAATACAGTTCTTGTGTCACAATAAAAAAAAAGAATCGCATACAGCATTTTCTAAAAATTATATAAAGAGTTACAATTAAAATATGACTTACCGTAAATCCCCTTAGGCGTCCGACATCCATCATTTTGTTGGCATTCTTTGGTATTATGTCCGAGCATTCTACAGCATCACGCAGGGCTTCCAGTACCGGTTTCGAAGCGCTGGCTTGCTCGGAGTAGGCGTAGATCTTCTTCAACAGCAAATGGTATTTTTGGATGCGTTGAATCGGCTTTATTAGTAGATCCCCGAGCTGTAACATAAGTTATAAGGATACATGAATACATACATTGTGTTACATCAACAGGAAAAGATGTCATAAACATATATTCAAAAGGAATAAGTCTTCTTTATGTATAATAATTATACATAGAAGGAACAAATTACTGGAATGTAATGCTTTTCACCTCACATTTCCACTATTTCATATCTTGATTGTTGTTAGTTTAGTCCCGTGCATCATTCATATTCGGTTCGTAACAACAAAAATGTGGTAAGACTCACCTGCAACTTTTGTCCGAGTTTGTGACGTAGCTCTTGGAAATAGGCTTCATTTTCGGAGACGATGAATTCCGATACTGGCTTGTTCCGGCAGTAAGACTCATATAGGAACATGCGCTTTTCCAGGAACCGACGGAATAGGTCGCCGAGCACCTCCGGCTTAATGACGCAGTCTTGCAAATCCTTCACGAATTTACTGCACAGACCATTTTAAAATATACACACCTGATATATCACAAATATTACGCAAGGCTTCCGCAGGGGGATATTGAATGAATCAGTACATTATTAGTCGTTATATGATTTATAATACAATATTGCTTTGCGTTATTTAGCCAATTATGTACGCACGTCCAAATAAACAGATTTTAAGATAGTAGATTTACAATATTATACATTATGAATCATAAATTCGGTCACAAATACAATCTATCAATTTATTATATGGATTTGGAGAAACTCGATTGGTTCATTCTAAAATATTATATTACATTAGGCGAAAGTACAATAGTTACTTCAAGTGCCTTTAATGTTCAGTTTACAATCGCACGCACAGCACCTTTATATAAGTAAACGAAGTAAATAATGATAAATAACTATAAAGATAAATTCAAGGCTAACCACAAGTCGTAATGAGACCGAACTACTGACGAATCATTCTTTCGAGATACATATTAATCCATTCATCTACAAATGACAAACTGCAGAACATTGTGAAAACAGTTTTCAAAAAACTGTCGCATTGCAGAAAATAAATTGTACGTTTAATAATCATTTATGATTCAATTTAATTATACGGTTTTATTCATGTGACTTGTACTTCACTGCAAGTACAGACGTTATTAAAGAGAGTGTTATGTATATTTCACAATATACATAAAAACAGATGACGATCGCCCTTTAAAAAAATCACGAGTACGAACGCATAGTAGAAATCTCATAGAACGACGGGTTGGTTATTATGACGAAACGGTTGAGGCCTAATTGAGTCAATATAATGATTATATAATATAAGCATCAATAACATTTTGCGGTCCCTTCAATATCGTCATATGAGATTTCTACTTTACATTGTATGCGTGTAAACTTGTAAATTGACAAAATTACTCACTCGCGATGGAATTCATAGATAGCTTCTATATTCCCGAACACCATACGGTGGCGTCTGTCATCTCGGAGAGGTTCGGGCATAGGTGGATCATTAGTTTGTTTCTGTGAAGGTTAAGCGTACATTAGCAAACTGTGTCGCATAATTTACCGAATTTTGCCGAAGTAGGGGTTATACGAAATCATCCTCTGTCTCTCTCGCTAAAGCGAGACGTTCTGCCTGCAATCTGTTGTTGAACTGTGTTTCCGTTCGAAGAAGCACTGAAATTACAGTGTACGGGATACACCTTAGTCCTGAAGAATGTTTGTGAGGGGCACCTTCCACGGTCGTAGATGTCGAAATATAACGGTTCTAGACCAGTAGTGGACAGCCAATCCAGTGCCAGCGAGTCAGCCAATAAAAAAAAAAATGTTAGTACATAGAATATATAGAAACATTTTCAATATCATATGTATAAGAATGAAACGAATGCGTAGGCTTAAGTAATTGCAGGACATTTCATATTTCATGGCTTGCATTCGATTTTATCAGGACAATGTTTGGATGGCTATGTTTCTGTTTGAAGTATAAAATATAGTGGTAAATTGCCCAGACACAGGATCATAACACTCCAGTCTTTAATAATGCTAAACACTTTCGAATTGTAAATATATTCTGCGATGGCGAATACGCTGGTCAAGAAATTTGATAACCATCAACTATTTTATCGCGATCACTTTCTCATTCTTTTGCCATCATTACTGCTCGGAAGTGGTAAAAAAATTATATATATATATACATATATATAATAATTAATGTCGATGTAATAGTATTTTTTCCCTTTTCATAGCTAGAAAACTGCGACTAGGAGAAAGATACCTAGAAAAACATAAGTATAACACCAAACTGTAAGAGAAGGATGCTACAAATATAACCAAATCACCAGAGTACCACAGTAGAATAATGTCATATTGGGAAAGACTCATCCATAATAATGTTACGAGAATGATTAGTTATGATAAGATAAATTAAAAAGAACTGTATAAATATTTAACAAGGTGAATATCTATTTCTATGAGTACTGATTTACTGAGTGCTGCTGTAGATTGAGAGTGCATTTATTCATTGCGCATTAAGATAAGCTGATGCTTCATCTGCCTCCAAAACAATATTGAAGTATATCTTGTATGTATACTAAAGAAGCATCTACGTAGTACCTAGGCAAAAGTAATTTAATTAATTAAAACTGCTACATTCAGTGAAATATGAAACTGCAAATATTAAATTCTCACTGCTGTTTAAATCTGGCACAATCTAGTTTATTAAGGTAAAAGCTAGTTCGCCCGTCATCCGTCTACTAATATTCATAATTTCAGAGCATATTTGAAATAACTAAAATCTAAATCTATTATTATTATAAAAATGAAGTAATTAATGTAATGGACGAGTGAACGTAATAGTATATATATACAATGCAGTTGAAGCTTTTCCGAAATATGGATTAAAATTATTAGGTCATAAATTCAGAAAGCTACACGTATAATATGAAATAATGTACTATAAAGTGGTTATTTATAAATACTATTACTAATATATTCTATACAAGCTGCAATTTATTGAGGTACTATGTATTATCGTAGTAGTGCACACCGCACTATACAAATCTTCATGCGCAATTGACGGGAAAACTATGAAAAGTTATTCCCTTGGAGAGTATTTGCTTAATGTACCTTGCAGACTCAGTAGAGGCAAATACTATATATTTTACTTCGTACCAAGTAGAATATACTGATGGTCGCCGGAAAATAATATTGGCGCTATTTATATGAAGATCGTGCTTGGGATTTTAAATTTCTTGTGCACAAATGTACTAACGTATAGTGGACTTGGTAATTGTATTTTATCTATACGGGAAATGATTTAATTCAACATATTTAACTATAGTAATTGTTTAAAATCCGTAAATTTTTCTTATTTATATTTTAATCGGCCCGCGACCTATTTGAATCACAAGGTTTAAAAATATTTAAACCTTGTGATTCAAATAAGTAATATGTAATAACATACCACAATATATTAATAAACCCACAACCGAATCGGTTAAGCATAAACACACAGACAAACAGACTAAAACTCTATTAGATACATATTTTTTGGTTTCTATTTCATTGTTAAAGGGGAAGGATTGTTAGAAAAGGGAAGATAGTAATACTTCTTGCTCAACTTATCATCCTTCACTGACACCCGCCAGCGTATAATTTACGTCGACCACCACGCGGTTCTCATGTTTAATTCCTGGTGAATTCAACTAACAAACTTCATGCTTATCCTATCATCCATCACTGTCCCCCCGCCAGTGTACACCGTTAACGCAGGCGGGTGCACCATTCTATTACTATCAATTAAAAAAACCTTCAATAACAGTTTTAGTCATATTTCAGGCACAAACAGCGTTCAGTTACAGTTTAATTTTACATATAGATGATGATAAATGATATTTCTAACCTGCATGTGAACCATGTAGCCTTCACAAATGATTTTCAAATCAGCGACATAGATCTCTTCTGTATCCAGCAACTCTCTCAGGACATATTCGCGTTTCTTGAGTACGACTTCACTAGTATTAGGGCCGGGTGTTACAGGTTGTTCTTCTTCCTCGGGCTCACCAGCACGGCCAGAAGTGCTGGCCCCCCCGTGCTGGATCTAGTTACAAAGCGACATTAGTATTCATTTATAGAAGTAGTTTGCCATTTAAACCCACAACCATTCGAAAGTGATGAAAAACAAGAATAATTATCTTTAATAAAACATTTGTATTGGCTCCAAAGTGCATTAGACTGACAAAAAACTTCAACGAAAATTGCACAATAATTTTTGATAAAGCAGACATAGTTACCAATCTGCGATGCGACGCTAAGTTTATAAAAAGTTACTAGTGCAGATACTAGATTTCTCGGTCCCTTCCTCGTAAATAATATAATCTCTCCCAGTAGGTTGTGCGGCAAAATGTTATTACACAATGTGCTAGCGTCTAATTAGTTAATTGCCAACATAATTTTCTATTATCCTTAACTTAGCTTCTGTAGGTGATAGAATAATAATTTCATACACACAAAGTTTCCTTAACTTGCACGTCACAACAATGCACAGTTTCCTTCAAAAGTTTCCTCGAGATTAAACAGGTACCTACATCGACTATGCGCTGAACGTTAAATTTCTATAGTAATAAGCAAACCTCGCGGGGTTGTCGGTATTGAACTTTCTTGCACCAACTATACTAGTGCATATTCGATGCAAACGTCAAAACAACCGAACTGATTACGAACATATGCTTTAGTTTGTTCTAAGAAATATTGCGGTGTTGGCAGTTGTGGGGATTTAATTTGAAACAGTATGCTACAAATCGACACAGACATAACTATGTTTCAATATTGTGAGACATATGAATGATATTTTTAACAAAAACAATTACTGTATTAATATTTGAAAAGATCTAAAAGTTTTATTGAAGTTTTTTGTCTTATATTTTAAAGAACTTTTCCCGTATTCCCAGTGTATCAGCGCAATCGGATCCTAAGCAAGTTTTCTAAATATAACTACTTCAAATACATAGCATCATGAAAACATACCTTGCCTATCTAAGAAATGTAAGCTTCACGAACTTTGAGTAATGTTTGAAAATTTGTGTTTAGACTTTACTAATTTAATTTGGGTAAGATCTATTTAGTCGGAGATGTCGCATGAATTCCTCTATATTATCTGAGTTCACAATAGTTTCAAACAATATACATCTTAGATTCTGAAATGGATATTCTGTTACAACTACTAACTTCTACGTCTTAGAAGATGTACAATAGAGTTGTACTTATTCCAAGTTCTTGAAAAGTTGTCCGTTATATGTACAACTAACTGAATATTAAATGTATTGTACATTACACTATTATGTGCTATCTACTATATTATGTACTATACTTTGTTCTAACAAAGTTACAAAAGAGCATTTTCTTTTCAGTAAGACAGTCAGAAGTATGGCACTTTGAGTTCTATTTTTATTCACGAGTAGTTACCAAGTCAATACTATTGATGAAGTCTCCCATGAGCATTTCTAAAGATCCTTTAGTGGACGTCATATATTTCAATAACTTTGTGTATTCTTTTTAATTTTCACAGAGTAGTTTCGTGTCTTTCTTTATACATAGTATGAACAGAAAAAAATGATTATTAAAGCATTTCATATTATTTGAAGTGTCGAAATAGTGCATCATACATAAAATTGGATTTTTTTCTATTACACTATCTACGTAATCGATTAAACTGTATTTGTAAAACTTAAAATTTATAATAGTTTAGACGGCGTTTGATTTTATTTTTATCAATCTGATCGTACTAACGTAATGAGCTATGTCAAGTGGGTTGTATGAATATATATTGGGAGGCAGAAACGGCGCTTTAACACGAACTAGTTTGAAAGTCGAGCAGATTACTCGCACCGCTCCCCATACTAAACGAGTTGAGAAGTGACTTCGGAAACTGTCGGAGGAATACCTAATTTGCTAATTTAGGAAGTAGGTTCTTATTTTAAATCGATTTCTTGTTAATATATTTAATTTCGAATTTAAATTTGGGAGTCTATTAAAAAGGGTTTGCTCTAATCTTTCTATTATTATACTATAGAAAAACTTTAATTACGGTATAATAAATATAGCGCCTATTTCATCAAACCTATATTTATTTATATATTTGTAACATTTACTTTGGTCAGTGATTCAAAATATACTATAATAATGTATATATCAATGGAACTGTAGAGAATATATATGTATGTCATATTTATTATTTAAATATTTTATAACAGTTTTAAAGTGATGTAACGGTTGGAAGTCAATGCATATTTAAAGCTACAAAATAAAGATTTATGTATAGCGATTACATTTTTCATTGTTATTATAGAAGATTCCCTAATAAACAATACCTATCAAGACCAGGAGGTGGAAAACATATTTGGTTAGCGATTATACTATCATTGCACTGTAAAAATTTGATAAGCGACAATATTAAAGTATAATAATGCAAAAATAAAAATTCATGGATTATAACATACATTCAGTGTCGATACAATTTTATGTTAATGAAACAGACTATGTAGAAAATCTATCATTAAAAGTACTCTTTGTCCCAACTATTTCTGCTTGCTGCCAATCAACTTCTTTGTTTCGATGGAAGGATGATATGGCAGTAAAACTACAAGGTACGGAGACATTAAATCTTAGTTTTCAGGAGTGACAACGTTGAGAGTAACGGTCGTTTCCTGACGACGCCATAACTGTAACGCTGTTAATGTATATAGGCGGCGGTAATAGAATAAGCTACGAAGTTGCAGCTTGCATACATTATGTATATATTATACAGCTCGGTCGGATGACTTTTTAAATTGTGGGTTTTGGGCAATTGTCAGGTGCTGTACCTGTAACACTGCGACCTGTATAGATCTATTATGCTCACCCTTATTCAAAGTTCGCTACCTAGATCCGTGACGTACAAGAATTGAAGGATATTCTTAGGAGCGATGGTTTTTATCTCGTCAGGTTAGAGTGTATACTTTCCAAAGGAGATATTTCGTTTATGCATGAGTGGGCTTCAACCACATGCTATCTTGTGGCGTTTCCTCTTATGCATGGCAAAATCTGCATATTGATATATTTAAAGCTAAGGCCGAATTTTGGCATGTGTTTATTCAATTTACAGTGTCCAGTGATGGCCCTAGTCATGATGATGATGATATTGTTTTTACTCAACAGTAATAGTCTATTGGAGTATTAGGCAAGTAGCCCGTAGGCTTTTGAATGTACTAATCCTGCCATATTCTGCCATTTATTCAGTGCTTCCTTTTAGTTAATGTTTTAGGCAACCAAGCACACCACAGAAGAGTTCTCGGATGCCGGTTGATTTGTAGTCGATTTTCGAGATACTTAAATCTCGAAAATCGACTACAAATCAACCGGAAAATGGACTGAAAAATATACGATTACATGTAATGCACGGTTTTATATTATTGAAATTGCAAGTGACAAGAACTCTACCGACTACGGCGCGGCATTATGAATGAGTTACCTGTCAACCGCGACTTCGCCGGCGAGTAATTTTACTTTTTTTTTATCCAAAATAACTAAATCTCTATAGGTAATAAGCCTAAGTTACTCCTTATAACATTAACTATCTGCGAGTGAAAGTCCCGTCAAAATGGGCCCAGCCGTCACAGAGATTAGCAAAAACAAAAGACTTGTAATTAATTTTTGTAAATGTTATATTATTTAGCGATAAGTTGTTAATTTGAAATAATAAACTGACACTTCAATTTTAAATATATATAAATATTAAACAACTGTAAGTTAACAACTGTTAGTTATTAAACAACAGAAACAAATCAATTTATAAGATGGAATGATATGATAATAGAACATGATGAGTACATTATCATTCCCGAGAACTAAGGTGAAACGCCTCCCTACCAATAGAATTCACGGAAGACCAGTTGCAAAGCAAGCTGCACAACAAAAGTTTGAAAAATTACAGTTTAATATTTTATAGTCCCATAGAAATAACTATTTTTCACACTACAATGACTACACGTTGACATTATATAATATAAATAGAATATTGCTAGAAGAAATTGCAAACTGGGTTGACTATTTTATATTTATACTGCTATTCCGAGTCCATTATTTCAAAATAACTGTAGCTGTATTGAAATTTATACTCAATTTACAACTTTTACTGCATTTTCTAGTTTCACAGTTATTAGATACGTATACACATACTAGCCGACCCTTATTGCCTTATCATTTAGAAGTTAGAGGTTTCAAAATTGCCTACGACAAATTCTCCGACCTACCAACAAATATTCAAGTCGTTTCGGTTGAAGTAGTTATTAGGTACTGTGACATGAGATTTTTGTATATTAAAGTATAGTTGTAATTTAGTGTAAAATAAAACAAAAAGCATGCTGCTGAAAGCGTTGAAGGCATAAAATAGTACTTATATAGTTAGTAATAAAGCACACAACATTGTGATATTTAAAACACAAACAATATATACTTATATTAGAAAAAGCGACAAGCATATACTTGATACATGTGTTAGATGAAGTGTGTTTGCGCATTGTATTTTTGGTTATTCATAATAACAAACTTGATATGAATCACAGAGCAGAGAAGTAAGTTTTTTATCTTCTGTATTCTGTGCTGTAAGATTATAAATATACAATAGTGTGTTTAGGTTTGCTAAAAATCAATATGGTACCTATAATACTCTGCCATGAAATTTATTATGGCTTTTTTGGCACTAGGCGACTTAAAAACTATATACACAATCCCTTGTTACGCCAAATCACCATTTTAAATTATACTATAAATGGCAATGTAGTATTTGAGAATTAAGTGACCAACAAAATCACACAAAACATTGTTAGTCTACTATATTAAATACCTAGGCAATAAGGTTACCATCCATTTTGATTTGTTCGAACATGTCCGGGATTTTTAATCAAAAGGCCTCGTCATTTTGTGGGGGAAGGGGAGGAGAGCCGCCCAACTCCCGCTCGACGTACCTAATATAATAAAATACAGTAAACCGTACGAGAGTTGACATACACCACCATAGCTACGGTCTCCCTGTGCGTGATGGCTGGATGCGTTATCTCCCGTGTAGTTTTATACATTACAAACGTGCCTTTGACATAGCGCAGTGATCCCGCACAGTCAACAGCAAAAGAGCCTTTTGCAAAACAATTTGCCTGAATTTCCAATTTTTACATTCAAATAAAAAAACTTTCGGCGTGCGTAGTTTCATTCTGTTATTTTGTAACTACGCGAAATATTTGTATATTTTGTATGTATTTTGCAAACTTCCAAATGGTAACCCTATACGGAACGGTGATTTCGTCGACCTGATGCATCTATAAAGAGGTCTATCTAAAAACTACATTTCACCAAAAAAAAGCCTGTGTTCTAATCACGTTTTGCAATTAGATGTGAAAACTCTAAAAATAGCTCCATGCACACTACATGCTTTAATTTTGAACCGACCATTCTTTCCTTGACAATTTGTTCTATCTCGGCTATATCGGCGGGACCACCATTAGTATCCAAAGCGTCCAATGTCAAAGAATTCTGAAAAGTGTATTAACATGTATTGTCACCTTACAATTTAGAAGCGCCTATGATAGCCCTTATGTAAGTTACAAAGTTTAATGTTAGTTTTAAAGATGTTATGTAGTTTGATAGATTACATGAATTAATGATTTCAGATGTAACTAATGTAAGTACGCACTCGTGTAGCGGGAGCGGAGGTCGCAGCCGTAGGTGTTGGAGTTTGTTGCAGCACAGCTTGAGGATCCTGAACAATATTTAATTATGTAACACTAGCTGTATCCTGTATAACGTAACCTTTGTTTCCTGTATAACGTGACGGTAGGAAAAAAATATAATAAAAAAAAATTACGTCCATAAGCGGCTAAAATATCCTATAAATAAATGACAGTATAAAAAAGTAGTCTCGGTTTGCTGGCTGGTAGTACCAGCTGATGACTTCGCTATCTCTAAATGTAATGAAGGCCTTAAAGTTAAGTATTTTTCAATTTTATTGATTTCGATTACAAACAAGTATACATACAAAGAAGACCAACGAGCTATTGCAGCAGCAAGTATTTATCGCAACGAGGTGAACCATATGAAGGCGCATATAACACAAACGAACAGACCAATATAGATTATTGTATACTGTAAGGATACTGTTCCCGGGATTTCAGTTTAAATGTCAAAAATCGCAACGAATACCATGCCATAGTGTCACCTCCAATACGCCGTTCACGTGTACCGACTACGGTTAACATTGACCGTCATCTCATAAAAAGTTATAACAACGTAGTTAAAAGTTTTACACGATATTCGATATTCCTGTGGCGTTTATACACATTTCTAATACCTAAATTTATTTCCGTTTTCATAAACTTTGTACTGTCATTTTCAGTTGGCCGTCGTAGGAAATAGTTAAATTCAAGTGTTATTGCACGAATGTAAAGTATAAAAATGAACTGTCGTCATACACTTAACAAAATCTAATTTCGTTTGAAGTCATGTACCTTATCGACACAAGGTATATATGACATCAAGCGAAATTAGATTCTGTCGGTACAGGGTAAAATCGTATAAGTAAACGCTGACAGCGGCGTACAGAGATATACAAATAAGAGCTTAGAAAACAAACTTTACAAGTCGATTTTGTAAGTCAAGTGAAGGTTTAAGAGTTGCGGTATATGTACTAAGCGCTTGTTTAGGTGTATTATAAACACAATTTACATAATTTCGTCGCCGGTTCATTCAGAATCAGAACGGAGTGGCTCGGTAAAGATATTATTTATTTGGGGCGCTTTCACGTTTTCACGTACCTCGCGAGCTGCTTAGTTTCGGCGCTTTTTGCGCACAAATTCTTTATTGTTTATTGATTCTTATATACGATTAACAAAAATAACAATTACTTTATCACACGTTAGTTTCTTGTTCCTTTTAATCACATACGCTATCACCAACTTATCCCTACGAAATATTAGGTGGAATTATTTCGCTCGTAAAAGGCGTGACATCACAGCGTCTTACCTTATTTTAATTCATTCATTCATATATCGACTATCAGGTGTTTCAAAAACAAGATTGCAATTTATTACATAAAAAAATGCAAGAACTTAGGAAACATGCAGACAAACAAGACAATGCAACAACAAAATGTGTACAACAATTAACATTTTCAGTTCTTAACTGTACGACTCTTTATATCTGCAAATAAAATAAGTAGGAAACGTACATAGTCAAAAAACTTTCAATATCAATGTATTTAAAATACGGCATATCGGAAAGAATTACGGCAGGTCGCGTCGGTGGGTAATCTCAGTTGGATGTGTTATTAAAAGTTACGGGCCAGCTACGAACGTCTGCGGGATGCGGTCTTGCCACAAATACGTACTGAAGGCAAGTTACACAATCCTACATCGACTATACTTGTGTAGTTCATAAACTTGTGACAGGAACATACTTAGCGAACTAATTCGCCATCTTCCGTTTTCCTGAGGTTTACCTATCTTTGTACTTGCAGCGTGTCTGGCAATGCACGCTAGAATTTTGTTCAAACGTCTATATTACACATTTGTACTGTTATTGTAATAAACATACTTTAGAATATATGTACATATTGCACACAAATGTGAATCACTTTATCTACACACAAAAGTCATGTAGACAATCTTGTTTATTATACTAGGTGCATCCCGAGACTGCGTGAATTCGGGTAAAAATAATTATGTGTTAATCATAGTTTACGGTATCCGTGAGCAAAATAATTGCCAAATCCACATCGGACTTTTTTCATTAAAGATTAACAAACCTTCATTTTCCTTATGTTTCCTTAAGTTTCTTACGTAATAATAAATCAGTAGAATAAACGTTTTTGTTAATGAATGTGATTTTCTAACTATAGGTGTAGTATAAGGTCATAACCGCATGGTGGGTTAAGCAAAGTTTTTAGGTTTATCTTTTGTTTTTATGCACTTGATAAATGTCAAAGAAGCTGACGGCGCATCTAGAAAGAGGCAACGGTCCGCTTTGCACATGAACAGAATCCAAAAGGACATTACGTCGATACTTGTTGCCCGCGATATCCTTCATGACCTGAGGACTAAGGAGTCATGCCCCCGTACTCCGTAATTTACGTACACTGTCATATCAAGAAAGTTGCCGACTGAAGTAGCTGAGACAAAGGTAATAGATATGCATATAACCATTTATAAAGTCTACCTCGCCTCATAGTCTGTTCTGAATCACAGATAAATAATTCCTAAATACCTGAATGGGCTTCATCGGTGGCGGTAGTTCAAGATCTGCAGCGTCGTCCTCTGTTTCGTCCAAGGCGGCTGCAGCTTGGCTGCTTTCACCAACATCCTCAGCACGTCCATTGTCAGCATTGTATGGTAACTGTGAAATAACAAGGTATTGGACCACAGGCTAAATAAATATCCTTGCGCAGATTATATTAAAACATTATTAAAAATACTTGTATTCCATTCACTTGTATTTATTTGACACGCCTTTATACACGCGACTGATTTCTATATATTATCATGAAAGAATAATATAATTCCTATATAGCCGTACCTAATAAAATAATTATACCGAGTATGATGGTAAACAGAAATATTGCGAAAGATCGAAACATTTTAATATTTATGTTTTATTTCACGCCATGACTACTGAATTGATTGAAATGACATTTGGTACACAGATAGTCTAGATCCGGAGAAATGACATACTTTTTATTGCGAAAAAATGTTTGTAAAGGGATGAAAGTATCATCATTTTACGCGGACGAAGTCGCAGGCACATCCAATATACTTCTTCCACTTATTACGACCTGGTGCACCAAACGACAGAGACCGTCGATTAGATATTAGAGGCACCACAGACATGGAATAAAAGGCATTCCTTTCTGTTACCTTTAATGCCCTCAAACTTATCCCAAGGGCAAAAGTGTTATGCTTTTATACTGCCATATATAAGACTTCAAATGGTTATCAAATAAGGCAAAGTTTTGAATGGTTTTGTATAAAGTCTATATATGTATAGTCGATGTCGATTTTCCACTAAATTTATACAAAATTCTTCTAATTATACACTTTATAGTTCAGAATTACTGAATATTATCAAAAAGTAATAAGAACTTACCTTAAACTTCTTATCCGAGGGAACCTTCTTCAGTGGAACGGGCTTCTCAGTTGTTGCTGGTGATTGGGCACCAGTAGGAGCTTTATCCTTCACCTGCGATGGTTTCCGCAGTCCTAACCACCGCCGTCTAATAAAGAAAGATAAACAATAAAGTACAATACTAAGGCTGGAGCGCGGAGCGTTCGATGCTTTAGGAATTATTCAGACTAATGATATCTAGTACTAGCAAGGATTTAAATATTTTAAAATATTTAGGTTTTATATTTTAATATTTATTCCAGAATTGCACATGTCAAACAAACATTCTTATAACAGAAAGAAAAGTACAATTGTATATCATATGTGTGAACTGTCCAATAAAATACAAGAATTAACAATGAACCCCTTTAGTCAAGTAATAGTTATTTATATGAATTAAAAATGCAGAGTAATCGGAGTAAAGCGTAATATAAATATTTACAGTAGAATTTTAAATAAAAGTATTGTGGTCGTCCGCAGGTGTTAAGAGAGAACTACTACTCAACTATTTAATAGGAACTGAAGGAGCCTATGTACATATACTCGTATATAGTGTCAGAGACGTCTAGACGATCAACTCAGGTAATGTAGGAAAATGGGATTTCTTGGACGACTGAAAATACTTGCGGCAGCTGGATAATTCTAATTGGAATTTTTACCAAAAGGATATCAGGTTTATTTTTGAATCACCTTATATGTGTATAACATCCATATTACGTGACACAAGAATACATCCTACTCTCTCACTAGAAAAAAAATAATTATTTTCGGATATTCATTTAAGCATGTCGTGTATGAATAATCAAAAATCAATGGGCTACAAACGTAAACTAAAGTATATTTATAGTAAACAGTGCAAAGAGTCACATAAAGTAAGAAAAGTAATACCAATAGTAATGTGGTTTAAAGTTCGATGTAATAACGAGGAAGTAACTGGTGAGTTTAATATACCAGCTATGTCTAACATAGATGTAACGAGGAATAAATAACTCCTCCATTAATCCTATAGAATCTATAATATTACCTTCATTATGAAAAATATAAATATTTTGAAGGAAAACGTAAATATAAGCATCTTATGTCGTGAAACGTGCATAAGAGGATGTTTGAATGGAATTGTAAAGATCAAATAAGTAATATAAGGAAGTCAAAACGAGCGTTTGTTAACTGCCACATTTTTTACGTAAGTAATTGGCATGTATTTGACAATTTCTTACATAAAAAAATAAGCTGACGGGCCACCTGATTGAAAGTGAAAATCGTCGCCTATATAATTGAACAATACCTCAACAAAGAGAGGTTGAACAAAGGTGACATAAAGGTACCCACGCAGTCGACTTTGTAAGTACAAGGTCTATCTCGGATAAATACATAAAATATGGCTAGGTACACGGAGTAATTATAAAAATATTAATATAAAACAAAAAAATTAGTCTACTCAAAATAATATTTAAAGTAGGCTGAATGTTAAGCTGGGTAATAAAGCTGACGTAAAGAGTATCTTTGAAAGGGGATTAAACTAGTAATCCAGCTTGCGGGGATGAGCCGCTCGTTTTAATTCACACTCATTACGAAATCGCACCTATTGTATTGTTTAAAAAGTTGTGATAATTGAGAATTGAAAATTTTACGTTAATTAATTTGGACGTCTTGCAATTTTAACATGTTTTTCTATCTTATTGTGTAATTAGGAAAATATAAAAATAATGATAAAGTGCACAATTGGTAGAGTTTAAAAAAAACAGAAATTAATTATATCGTATATAAATGTATCGTATCGTATATACATGTATGTATAATAATAAATATTTTTAATTATTAATGTTTCTAAGGACTGTATATATTTTATATTATATTTTTAGTTACAAGAGAAACTACGGTCGCTGATGGTAAAAGACATATATTTCAAAGTGACAATAAAAATCGAACGAAACATAAAATATTTAAATATATATATAAAAAAATATAATTATCATATAAAAAGGTGCGTTATGCACAAATATGTTTGTATAAATATATATATATAATAGTTTTTCCACCAAAATCACATGTATAGCGCATATACATGTATTTTCAATAGAATCGAATTATGTTATAAGTGATTTATAGATACCTAATAATAATATTTTTTTAAATAGTATTACAAGTTTCCCCTAATGTTCTCATGGAATTTTTCAACAAATAGTATGTCCACAATATTTTTCTAATTATGTCCATTCTACATAATATCTACTTTTGTTAGCTGTTTGTATATTTGCAGTTAGTGGCGCCGTGGCAGACCACATAGATTCTATAGTAAACTTATACCAATGAAATTAAATACGCAAACCACAATGTCTCAATAAGAGGCGGTCCAAGCGCAGTCCAAGTTACGGAGTTACTAACGATCAAGTCACAATCGAAATGGCTTCAGCAGAGAGCGGATAGAAATTATTATATATTGGAGAATTTAAAGCCACAAACGTTCCGCTCTGAGTTGTCCGGCAACATTGTTATTTTCCTGAAATGCCGACTAAACTGGTGGTCAACGTAACATAAAGTTAAAGCTGTAATCTATATAGATATATAGCTAACACTACGCCCATGACGTCGTTGTGTTACGGTAGTAGTCGTTGTAAGTAGTCAAAGTCATGTAGAACCATTGTTTCTATAATTAAGATATCATAACTACATACACTGTAATTTAACTGCCATATCTCAGCATGTAAACTAAGTTACTTACTAGGTAAAGGTACTCAAGCAGACTGTATACAAAGTCTGCCTCTTTATTTCATTTTGTTAAATAAACACAATTTGAAACGAGTTTCAACAAGGGCTGCTTTTAATCCGTGTGTCAGCCCTCCTAGAGTAACCAAATATCGGATTTCGAATCAGAAAAAAAGCAAAACTTCGCGCCGGTCTCGTATTTCAATTAATAGAAATCCGGGCTCGAAATAACCGACGCTGGCATAGGTAGCTCTATAAAAAAACAAGTGCAGTTGCAATTTTCGAAACTAAAAATTCTCGTGTCGTCAACCGACGTTGCAACTAGACGAGTTCCCTAAATTCCAATGGAATTATTTTGTACAATCCGATGTCGGTAAAGTTTAATGCGATTATTTCACTGGTGTGACTTCGACTTATTTCATTCCAGTCCATATGAATAATGCAATGATTTAATGTATTGAAGTGTGACTGGATACTTTGTAACTATATTCTACACATGAGTTTATATAACATAAATGTAAGAATAATAACAAAGTTTTATACAGTAAACAGTCACTCTATAATAATATATAAATAACTTAATATTTGTAAAGAGATATTTGCTATGAAAGAATCATATAGTAAGGACAGTCATGTCAATGTCAAGTGATCACAGTCCTCCATAAATATTTTTGTTAAAAGTGAATACAGAAGCAAAAACAACATATGATTGTATAACATTATTTACTTATTCATCTGCAAAGAGATGAAAGATCGAAATCAAATCTATGACAAGTCCCTTTGCCCAGGTTACTAATATTAGGTTAAATTGTCATCTTACGAGGAGACCCATACGCAGTATCCATTACACGATAACGATAGGGCGCTATTACTCATTTCATTGCATTGGTTAGTCGTCAGGGAATTTACCAGCTCTATGTCAATTATCAGTGATTAGTTCAATACTTTATCCTTATAAAATAAAATATATCTCATTTATAAAAATAGAAGGAAAGAAATACAAAGATACTAGAGACATATATGACAATGCATTATCTGGTTTTCAAATATATGAGATATATTTTTATACTAGCAACATTGTTTATACAATACAATATCAGAACAATGAATTCGAGAGCTCTATGTAACGATGACCAATATCCGGAGAATTGAGAATAATAAAAAAAAATCTACACAGAAGAGAAATAATACAAAAGCTAGTAAAAAGTGAAAAAGGGGAACCTATAAGATTGAAACACTAAAATTATATATTGATGATATAACATGAGTTAGATGCATAGGTAACAATAATAATTATTACTATTAAGATTAATGAAGAGATCTAACTTTTATTACATCTCGCAGATTAAAAAAACTGTCAATCTTAAAGTATGTATTTTTCTAATTATATGCAGATTCATGAACCTGGTTTACTTAGTAATTACTAATTGTTACTAGTTTACTAATTAATTTACTACCATTACTTAGAACGTAAGGTTCAGACTTAAAATCTCCCAGAAATATAAAAATCACTATAGAACTTTTTATTTACCAAACCGATACCAAACCTCTCTGCGTTGACTAATAAATACCAAAGTGGTCACTACCCCTGATATACACCATTTAGTATAACAGTTGTATATAAAATATAAATAATTACAAATATAGAGCATAAACTAAATATATGTAAATAACCACGTTTATTTTCCTTTACATTTTGTAAAAGTACCTAAATCCTATCTATGTACTTGTGTCGTATTCGCGCTTGACCGGCTTCAACTATCATTTCGGTGTCTAGGAAGATTTAATAAAATCTTACCTAGAACCGTTTAAGATAGATAAGATTTACAACGTTGAAATGAAGTCATACTAGTAATTTCTTAATATATTTCGAGAACAACTATATGGAAAAGATACATGTAACTCCCTCTTCAAATTTTAAAATAATGTTTCAGTATTTTCCTAATTCAAGAGGTTAATCAGCTGGATTATAATAAATAGAAATTCTACAGATTTGTCTTCATTACAGAAATGTCGTATGATGACTGTGTAATATTGAGCAGTCAAATTATTTGATATTTTAACTTTAATAAGAATGGATTGCTTATTTTCCTTTAGTATAGAAAATTCGTGGCACTTCTGGGAATTATTGGATGACGCAGCATCTACTTGTTAAGAAATCCATTTTTGAACCTGATTATACAGTAAAATGATCTCGTTTATTGAGATAAGAATTAACTCGATTTCCAATATCCGTTTGTCATATTCCATCAGGTTTATCTTTCATATTAAAGTTTTAGAACAGAATTGTCTAATTACTTTAGAACAAGAACAAAGCGAACTTACACATCATTAGTGATTGCTTAGTTATTAAACAACGAGACGAATTAAGGAGTTAGCTATGGAGGAAAGTTTTTTCTAATT